ATCAGCCTCAGGATATAGTAAACGCATTCAGTGAGTTTTTCAGCAGTGTCTATGTCACTCACAAGCCCCATAATAATGCCTCACTAAATCATAGTAACTTATTTGTCCATTTTCATCCAATTGAGGAAAATGAAGTCAGAAAGGCCATTAAATCACTAAAGGATAAGATGACATCTGGTCTAGATGGCATCCCGTCCTTTATAGTCAAAGATTGTGTGGAAGTGTTTGTTGGTGTTCTAACTAGGATTTTTAATATTTGTCTTATAACAAAAAGATTTCCATATATTTGGAAGATCGCTAAGGTCTGTCCAGTGTTTATGTGTGGGGATAAGTCAAATATTGAGAATTACAGGGCAATCTCTATATTATGCATGTTCTCGAAAGTCTTTGAAATAGTCTTGGTCAGTCGCATTTACACTCTGCCGTCCAGCGTCAGCTGTCATTGCATCAACACGGATTTGTCGCTAATCGCTCAACACCCACAAATCTATTTATAATAACGCAGTACCTTTCGGAAGCCATTGATAGTAATGAGCAAGTTGACGTTATTTATAGCGACTTTTCGAAGGCTTTCGATAAAATTAACCACAAAACTTTATTAAATAAGTTAGGTGCACTTGGTTTCACAGATGATGCTAGGGAGTTGATGAAATCTTACTTATCCGATCGTAGACAATTTGTTAGCTATAATGGCTTCCAATCTGAGACCTACTTGGCAAGTTCTGGAGTTCCTCAGGGGTCCAACCTGGGACCATTACTGTTTTTGATATTTATTAATGACCTCTGTGACTCAGTTGAATGTGAACGCCTATACTTTGCTGACGACCTAAAAATTTATTCGCAGATAAATACTCCTGATGATTGTATCAAGCTACAACACCAATTAAATTTTGTGCTGTCTTGGTGTGTAGAAAACGAGTTGGAGCTTAATGTGAGGAAGTGTAAAATAGTCAGCTGTACCAGGAAAATTAATGTTTGTGAATATCCGTACTCTATTGATGGGTCTGTGCTAGAAAGATGCTCTGATGTACGTGATTTAGGTATAATCTATGATCAAAAGTTAACTTTTAGTCAGCATATAAATAAAAAAGCATCAGAAGCATTGGCGGCTTATGGTTTCATAGTAAGGAATTGCAGGAATTTTCATAACATAAAGTCTATTAAGTTATTATATTATGCTTATGTTACATTCAAAGTCGAATATTGTAGTATTATTTGGAGCCCTTACTATGAATGCTATAGCACAGCTATTGAAAGAGTACAACGGAAGTTTATGAAGTTTGTTCTGTTTAGGATTGATGGGGCATATCCAGAGAGAGGTACAAGTAATGAGGAACTATGTAGTCGCTTAGACATGCTGACTTTGAAGAAATGTAGGTATTGTGCCTCAATAATATTTGGCTACAAAATGATCAACAATATAATTGATTGCCCCATGATCCTGGAACAGATAAGTTTCGTACTCCAACGTTTGCATCTCGCAATCATAAAATATTTGGGCTTCCTAGAGCTAGGACAAACATTCTTCTCAAGTCACCGTTATATGTAATGTGCTCTAACTTAAACAGAATTGGATGTTACTGTGATATATTTACGACAAATGTTAGATACCTGCTAAAGGCAGCTAAGGCTTATTCGGACCAGTAGCTCATGTTACAAATTTATACCTGTGTTGCATTTGTTGTTTTCTTTTCGCTTTTTTTTGCTTTTGTATTATGTTTATAAATTGTCCTATACATGGGAAACTGTTGGACAATAAAACTATTATTATTGTTATTATTATTATTATTAAAACGAGCCACCGTTTACCGGACAAACATACCACAGGCAGACTGATCAATGGAAATGAGTGAGATCCAAAATGCATAATCTCTCATTTTTATATTTTATTACTATTTATCATTATATCATATATGAAACTTTTTCCTATACCGTTATACAAACAACCGCGCAGGCAGAAGCCTAAATGCTGCTATTAAGATCCCAAAGAAACTTAATCTGATTTTTGAATTGCGTAAAACTTGGAAAAGCTTCCTCTTGTAGATTCATACACAACCTCGACACCCTACGGACAAGGGAGCGGTCGTATTAGCCAGTTCGGGATGCACGAAGGTAGACACGGTCAGGCAAGTCAGAGTCAGAGTAGCAAAGTCCATTGATGTAGCGTGAGAAGAGAGCTAGAACGCAGACAGCAGAGATCGTCCTGTCACTCTGAATTCCTGCCTGTAGAGTGCTGTCATTAGCAAAGATGTTGAATGGATTGATCGTACAGGAAAGGAGGTCGTTCACATGCAAGAGAAACAGTGTCGGAACCAAGACCGATCACTGGGGAACACCCGCGTTGACGTTGTGGTCAAGAGGAGAACGCGTCAATGATGGCAGATTTCTTGAGGCCAGAGATACAGTCAGCCACCTATCGGCTTAGCTTCTCTGAGAGGCCATAGAATGGAAGCTTGTATAAGAGAGCATGCCTCAGCTAACCGAACGCTTTCGTGATATCATGAGCAAAGACATGAGGCTCACCATAAGACTGGATGAGATTACTTCCCATTGCGTGACGTGAGCTAGGAGGCCGGCGGTGGATCGGTGGTGCCAAAAACCATACTGCCTGTTGCTAATCAAGGCGTGACGTTCGAGGTAAACCATAAGCTCGCGATTTATGCACCTCTCCATCACCTTACTTACAACAGAAAACAGAAATATAGGCCTATAGTTGTAAGAGTCGGTGTTAGGTCGCTCTTTTGCGATGGGTTGGACATGAGCAAATTTCCAGTTTTCTGGGAATGTGCCGGATTTGTAAGATTTGGAAGATACGCGAAAGAACTGGAGCAAGAAGTGCTGAATGTTACTTTACAATAATCCATTTACAGAGTAAAGATATAAGATTCAGCCATCAGAATTTAAGTCAGTCCTATCTCTACTAAACCTTTTTCACCTGGTACTCACGTTTTGTCTTTCAGAAGATCAGTAATATCTGGCACATCCGGGTCTTTCACTATTACATGAAATGATTGATCACGAGTTATGGCCAAGTTCCAACCTTCTGCTTACTATGGTGTAAGGTTTGGATAACATGGTTGAGTAATTTTTTGTGCGAGGAAGAATTAAGGAAGAATTGATAAGAATATTGAGTTCGGTATTATAGCCATGACTATACGAGCCCGTTCCCACTTCAGTTGGCCCACTTCAAGATTTGTACCAAAATATGCCTTTATAAACTAAACATGACGAAACTATTTACTTCTAAAACAATTTATTTTCTCAAAAACATTTTAGATACACTCTAGTCGTGAAAAATACATATTTGAAATCACTTAGACCCATAACTAATAGAACATCTGAACAAATAAACAATGTGCGAATAAATGCGCGAAGTTAACAAAGCAATAATTGAAAGATTACCATTGGGTAACATCACCTTTATTTTTTATTACGGCTGAAATTCGTTGGGGCATAGTGTTAACCAAGTTTTGGCAAAAATTTGGTGTAAAACAATTCCATATTTCTTGAAGCCTTTGTCTCAGTTCGGTGATTGTACGAGCAGGATGTTGTCGTAGAACCTTTTTCATCTCGTGTCACAAAGTTTCAATAGGTGACAGATCTGGACTGCTAGAAACCCATTTCAAAAGTGGTAAATTATTTTCTTCCATCCATCTTATAGCCTTTTTTGAGGTATGGCACGCTGCACCATCTTGCTGAAACACAAAATCTTGGCCGGATGTCAAACATTCTTCCATCACTGGTAAAAGCGATTCTTCTAAAATTGCCAAATATTTGTTTGTATCCACAGTTCCATCAATAAAATGAAGTTTTCCTACTCCTTTTGATGACCTACTGCCCCAGACCATAATGGATGCTGGAAATTTCACTTTTCTCTTCAGACAGTCAACATGGAATGCTTCATTTTTTTGCGAATAACTCTACTGCGACTGTCACCAACACAAACTTATAATCGGGCCTCATCACTCCATTGTATTGCACACCATTGTTGAGGTGTCAATTGTCTATGTTCTTAGCCCATCTAAGCCGATTTTTTTTTGCAGTGGAGTAAGTAGTGGCTTTTCTTTGGCCTACAAACAAGTTGTGCAACTTTAGGGTTTTTACTTCACTTTTTCTTATAAGAAAACTTACCTTGCAAGTTCTAAATCCCACCTAGTGGGCCTCTCTATGAGTTGTGGACCTCGAAATACTCCTTCCAACAGCATCACTCCACAGAGCACTTAATTGTAAATAATTGGCACGCCTGTTTTTCACGATTATTTTTCTTAATGCTCTTGATATTCCTTTTTTTCACATTTCGTGGCTTAATATTAACTGAACCAGTTATGTTATATCGTCTAACAATATTTCTCACACTGTACCGCGATAAGTCTAACAAAGTTGCAATTTCTGAGTTTGACTTCCCAGTATTAAAAAATTTAATTATCAGTAACCGATTTTTCTCACTAATAACCTTTCCTCTACCCATTTTGAAAACCTTAACTACCCAAAACTAGTTTTAAACCTATTCTGACAGCTGTGATTAATAAAAACAATTGTCATGGCTTTTATTTTTCACAGCCACCTATGAGTTATAGGCTTATTTTGCATTGAAATGAAAATAGGTTGATATGCTGTAATTGCAACGTGTTATTTTTATGCTGCAAATTTGATTAGGGAGTGATAAAGTTGGTGTTTTCTACTACATATTATCAAGATATTCATTGTCAATATTTTAAACCTATAATACCCTGCTACATTTTTATTCTTTGTGTTTGATAAGAAAAAAACTAAGATTTAAATAGCCAACTGAAGTGGGAAGGGGCTCGTATATGCGCTTACCGACGGCAAAACTTCCAAGTACATCTTGTCAAATTCCTTCAGCCTACTTCTGGAATGCTGAATAAGCTGGAGCAAGAATTATCACGGAATTAACGTGTGTTTCGTCTCTAAATATTGTAAACATTTCTGAAAAGGCAAACCACTTTTTATCGTAGATATTTTTGTCTATCTACGTCAACGTTGGTAATTTTCATTTTGCCTAGAAGAGAATCATATTTTGGCACCTATGAGTCACATTTTAACGTTTTCCATTTTATGTAATTAGCAAAATATGTAAAGTAGTGTTATAATATAAGCGATATCCACATACGATAACAAACAATGCATCATTTTGTGGATTATTAAAGAAATGTACTCCACACAGCATAAGAAGTGCATTTATGTGATAAAGTGTTAAAGATTAGTGTGGATGACTGTACTTGATAATTCAAAATCTTTATTCTTAGCAAGAAAGTATTTGTGCGCGGGAACTTGATTGGTGATTTCGTGTTTTTGAGAATGGATTAATAGATGGAGATTGTGGGACTATATAGCAAAGAATGCGAGATCCCTCTGAGTTTAGCAGACTTTAGATGTTTTTTAAGAAACTTGTGAAGTGTCCAAGTGAGTAACGCGGGTTGCAGTAAAGCTTTATTGAAAAACAGCTTGTTTTATCGGTGTCAAACAAGAGTAGGATATTTTTTCAAATGAAGAATCAGGTTTTCCAATATATCATATCATCACAATTACACAAAATAGCCCTATTGTGTGAGGGCTATTTCACTCCTGACGATCCAAACCAGTTAATTTTTGTATCAATTACATTCGACCCTATTCGATTACTGTGCTGTCAAAATTCCTTGAATTATACAGTGTCGATCTGAAGTTAAATCAATTCCAGTGGCGTCCCTTAGGGGTCTGTATGGTTACAAGAAGGTTACTCAGGATATATTTTATTTGAACTACATTCGTTTTTTTTTGTATTATGCATGGATTCAAAAAAATTACATCACTACACAGTTTTAATATCTACACTAACTATGGAAAATAAGATATTATGTTGTTTGTGGGCTTACGAAAAACCATTTCTGTTGGCCTGTCTATAATTCAGAAAGTACTGCTCGGATTTTGATGAATTTGACACAAGAACGAAAAAGTCTCGTGGGATTTGGAGTATGCTGAAAGCTTGATTTTTACGTTTCAAAAAGTTATGATCATCTCAAGTATTTTTTGGGGGACTGGAAGTTGGAGTTGGTGGGTTATAGGTGATAGGGATTGTAAATGTTGCATATTCAGTAGCAGTGACTGATTTCCTGTTATTAAGAATTTTTTGATTCCGGTAATACAGTGCCCCTGCTAGACATAATAGTCACACACCGGGTGCGCCATCTTTTATGTCGGTATTGAATCATCGAATGACTTTGATATTTACCAACCGAATGATTTGGTTATACGTGTTTCTGAAACGTCGATTTACTGCAATTTTAGTCATGGATTGCTTTACACAGAAATAACGCGCCGAAATAGTCACTACGTACATTGAAAATCGTCGTTCAGTTGTGTTAACGCAACGTGCACAACGTCGACAATATCGTGGCAAACAGGCACAGTCTGACAACACTATCCGTCGTTTGGAACATACCGTTCATCAGCCGTCCATCAACGATCAAGACCTTCCAATTTTGGCATCAGTGGAACCACGTTGCGGCGTTGAAGGACGATTTGCATTTGTTTCCTTATAAGGTGCAGTTAACACAAACAATATTGCCAACCGTCCACATTGCTTGCAATACGCTCAAACAGTCGCTCGCATGGTTGAACCTGATTTTTGGAAGCAAATTGTGATGACCAACGAGGCCCATTTCACGTTCTCTGGCGACGTTAATAAGCAAAACTGCCATATTTGGTGGACGGAAAATTCACATGAGATCCACGAAATGCTGTTACATGATCTAAAAGTGACTGTTTGGGCAGGCGTTTGCGCCAAAACCATCATTGGGCCATTTTTCTTCAACGAAAACGAAACAATCGATGGAAATCGATATCGGTGGATGTTGGCTCACGATGTCTGCCCACAAATGCGAGAAAAAGGTCTTGATGGTTTCTGGTTTCAACAAGACGGTGCGCGATGTCACACTGCAAATGAAACAATCGAGTTTCTGCAACGAAAATTGTCAAAAAGAGGTGACATCGACTGGCCACCCATCCAGATTTGACCCCACCGGACTTCTTCTTGTGGGGTTATTTGAAAAGTCGAGTGTACGCCAGCAAGCCCCAGACCACTGAAGAACTCAAGGCAAACATTCGCACCGCAATCGCCGCTATACCACCAGAGATGCTCGAAAAAGTAATGGAAAACGCAGCAAAACGGGCACATTTTAAAAGTGGCCACTTGATAGATGATGTGTCAAAAACTAGTCCCAATAAATTGTAAAGGGCCATATTTAATAAAAATACCCGATATACAGAAATCAGTTATTCATTTTCAAAGTTATTTCATGTTTACATACCGACATAAAAGATGGCGCACCCTGTATATGTTTCATACATTTGCCATTGTAACAGAAATATGATGGATTTATGATTTCGAAATAAAAAAACATCTTGATACTGGATATAGATATTGACTTAAATTTTCTTACATCCTACTGGCATCATAATCAAGACACACAAATATTGTCGAGTCTGTTGCTACACCAGTTGCGTAGAAATTGGGAAATTTTCACATCTACCGAAGAAAAACAAAAATTATTTTCTACGCTACTGAAGAAACGTCTGTTGAATTTTTGAATGAAGTATCCAATATTTCATGAAACGACACTCCTTAGGAATTTAGTAAAATTACTCCTTAAAAAAAAAATTGATTTGGATATTTGGAGTGAAAGTATAAAAAGCTAGAACCAGTTATATTTTGAAATTACGCCAAAGTTAGTAAAGTTTGGCACTGAAAATTGTATGTAGTGCATTATGAGAGTGATTCTAACTCACCAAAGCATTATACGAACAAGATTAATGTCCTTATTCACCCTGTATCTTGAGAATGGGAGGACCTAACAATTTTTTTGTTTTTTTCTCTGAATCACCCTGAATACCAGGACTTCCCTTGAGGTGATTTTTCAACCTCGGGAAGAGAAAAAAGTCAGAAGGACTCAAGTCACAGGAATGCTTTTAATGGCAATGCAATTAATACCGTGTTACCTTGTGCAAAAAATGGGAAAAACAAACAAGGCAGCAGCGGTGGCCGCAGTAGTAGACTCTTCGGTGTCCTCATCATTCGCCGTGCGCTGTGCGGGTTCGAGTCCCGGCCCAGGAAAATTTTTTCTCTTGGCTATGGATGTTGTGATTGTCTGTAAGTGGTAGATGGTCTCTGACTGTCGAACGCGGAGGTACCACCCGGCGGTTCTCGTAGGCGGAGCCAGAATGTGTGCATGTTGCATGCACACGTGTTCCCTCGCCAGAGTCCGTGTGGCGTCCCCCCCTTTCCCATGTATCCCCCATAGCCCCACGGTACCCAATGGGTGCTTAGGCCTTAGGCCTTCGTGGTAGTTGGAGTATAAAAAAAAAAATAGCCAAATGTCAGACTTACATGGCGAAGTTTAGCATGCTGCTACTCTTACACTTAATCATATAGTCTCTATCAGATGTTCAAAATAATACACTATCCACAAACAGATTTGGTTCATTATATCGAAAGTGAAAATTAAAAAAAGAGAAAAACGCATACTTTCCAAACACAAGTACACCAAAAAATTATTAATCTGAATTAAAGACAGAATAAAAAAGAAATGAATTATTACGTAAATTATATGTTAGGAGGGTTGAGTAATAATGTTTTAACTTTTTGTCGAAAGACAGGTGATGAAAATGCTTTATATATACTTTAGGAAGGTCATTATAAATAATAGCAACATTGTAAGAAAAACTGAGTTTAAAAAGTGTAGACGTATGCAGGGGTATTCTAATATTATTTTCTCTGAGAGTTCTACAGTGAACATAATTATTAAATGAAATCTTTTCCCTCAAGTAATAGGGTTTAGACGTGAGCAGCAATTTGTGAACAAAAACTGAATAGTGATACTTGACGATGTCATTAATTTTTAACCAGTTTAGAACGGGCTATTTCGCTGATACATGATCAAATTTACGTAAGCCAAAGATGAAACGTATACAATTGTTTTGAATAACTTGAATAACGTTTTTAGTGAAATTGTCTAAACAAGTATAGTATACGGTATTACAATAGATATGACCAATGCTTCACATAGTTTTTTACGCAACTTAAAATTTAGTAGATACCTGTTTGCTATAAGAGTACGCAGCCGTAGGTAGGTTTTCTGGGAAAGAATTTTAAAAAGAATTTTTTGGTTATTTATCTGAATGTTCAAGAGCTGTGTTATATTGTATGTTTTTCTTTGTGCGCAAAATAATAGCATTTTAGATTTTTGTGGATTAATAAGTAGATTGTGATCTAAAGAGTATTTAATTAATTTACTAACATCGTTTTGTAAAATTTGAGTAGTATCATTGACATTAGCTGGGTTAAAATAATGGAGCAATTGCGTATCGCCTGCAAATGACTGGACATAAGAATTATCAATACTTTTGCTTAAGTCGAACTATATATGAGGAACAGACGCGGCCCCAATACAGAGCCCTGAGGTACGCCTGAGGGAATTATTGTCACTTGAGATATTTCTTGACTGAGAAAAACACACTGAGTTCTTTGATGAAGGTAACTGTCGAAAAATGAAAGGGATACCCTGTCAAGACCTATTTAATTTAATTTAGCAAGTAAAAATTTATGATTGATGCTGTCAAAGGCTTTCGAATAGTCTATCGAGATTAACGCTAGTGCCATTTTCTTATCTAAGGCACTTAAAATATTGTCTTGCAGATTGAGTAGGGCAGATGTTGTAGTATAATTTTTTCTAAAACCGGATTGAGTGTCGGGAAGTATAAAGAATTTTTCTAGGTAAGCGGTCAATTGGAACTTTATAATTTTTTCTAAAATTTTTGATAAAATCGGTAATAAACTGATAGGTCTGAGATTATTATACTCAGTGGGTTTCATTTTTTTATGAATTGGTATAATTGGAGCTTGTTTCTATGAGTTTGGGAAGTAGCCTTTTTCCAAACAGTCGTTAAAGATGTGGACGATGTGACGGAGAATAACTGGCAGGCAAAGCTGGATCATTGACAGAGATATACCATCAACTCCCTTCGCATCAGATTTTAGGCTCCCTATTGCCTGTAATACGTCATTTGAACTAATCTGATTAAATGAAACAATATATTCAGAGCTTAATTTATTTTTGAAATAGTTCTCGCAAGCTAGTGAATCGACAGGTTTGTAGCTGTAAACAGACATAAAATAATCATTAATTTTGGTAGGGTCATTAAAACTTGCTGGAAGGGTTGGTTTACTACGAAAATTCATATCAAGTTGTTTAAGAGACTTCCACAATTTTTTTGAATCATTTCCATTTACCAAGTTTTCGATATATGTCTTTTTGTCCCTCCTGATCATGTTAAGAGCACGGTTTCTAAGCAATTTGAAGTTATTATAGGCGTCCACGGTCTTATTAGCTTTATATAAAGCTTGTGCAGAATTCTTTTCATCAAGAACAGTGCGCAGTTCATTAGTTAACCAAGGTGATGGTGGCTTATTAACTCTTACAGTTTTAAAAGGTGCATGTTTATTATAGGTTTCCACGATAACGCTTGTAATGTGCTTTACCGTCTCATCAATATTAGATTTCATAAATAATAATTCTTCTATGCCCGATGTATAAAGGTCGATAAGAATATGATCGTCAATGAAATGTTTAAAATCCCTGATTGTGATAAATTTTTGTTTTCTTTTATAAGATGGAATATCAGAATGAAAAAATACGAGTTTGTGGTCCGAAATACCACTCGTGTCCATGACGGAAGAATAGCTGCATGTTGAGGATTATTTAAAAATATTGGATCGATTAATGTTGCAGTACTATCTGTGACACGGGTGGCTTCCGTTACGATTTGTGTGAACCCCATCATCTCAAAACTCAGTGTTATTAAAAAATTTATATTCAGATCTCCCAATAACACGATGTTATGATGATATAACGAAAGGCTGGGTAGGAAACCATTTAATAAATCTGCACATTGTTGTATGTTTTGAGAGGGTGGTCGGTACAAAACACCTACTAACAGTTACCCGCAACCAATTTAACCCAAATGCTTTCGAAATAATCACCAAAATCTGTATGAATCTACCTTTTCAGCATGTAAATTTGATTTAACATAGATTCCAACTCCACCACTACGAGATTCTCTATCACAACGCAAAAAACAATAGTTGCTAATATTAACCACATCATCAGTAATATTTTCATTTAACCACGTCTCTGTAACAGCGAATACATCAAAATTTTCTAATGCTATTAAATTTACAATAGCATCAAAACTAGACATGAGGGAACGTACATTCAAGTGTCCGATTTGCATTTGACTACTAGCCATTAAGAGTATTTGAATCGTACATAATTTAGAAAAGATTTTAAGTATTCTAAATAATTCTAAAATGATCAAAATAAAATTCGTGAGAGATGCCTTTGTTGAAAGAATTCATACACTGGACGATTTTTGTCTGTCGGAAGATGATCGGTACTGTAAGATTTTTTATACTGGTGATTTGAATACAAACAGTTGCAACATTTCGAATGCGCCTGATTACAAAAGGAGGTGTCATGGTTTTTTCCACACTGAGCACAGACTTTAGGATTTTGGCATTTTTTTCCGGAACGATTAAATCGGAAACAATTTGTGCACTGAGACACTTCATTATTTTTGTATACAGATACATTTTGAAATCCTAATAGAATTTTTCCATTATAATGTTCAAAAATCTGTTTAAATAAATTACGTGTGACCTCTGCGTTGACTTTGCTCTGTGAGAAGGAGCATTATCGTGATAAACACCCAGTTGCTCTTGATCTGAAACTGCATTTAACCACCGAAAAACCTTGGCTCTTGACAAAACACTGTCTCCGTAAGTCTGTTGACGTTTAGCAAGAGTTTCCGTTGCACAACCAATTGACTCGAACGAGTTCAAACTTGTACTGAAGGCGGATCACATGTTCCCCTGTCCCCCATCCATGCTACGCACTTAATTTACAGACCTCGTAGGTTTACCGTACCTACTTAAGTGAACATAACTGGTTCAGCTTTTTAATTTTATTCGAGGCTTTTTCATAGACTTGACCAACCTTGTCTTCGAAATTTGCGTTGTTTTTGGAGGGTAACTAACAAAATCTATGACTTCTTGATACCGGTGTGTAACGATGTGCTACTGTAAAAACTCATAACCAGTCAAAACTAAGCGCGTTGGTTAAAACCACATTTAAGTTCAAAAATATTCGGCGATAGCGAGTTTGGGTAAACTTTATCGGACAAAAGTGATTTTAGCTGAAAATACGACTATTGAATAAAAATCATAGTTACGTGTTTCAGAAATCGTTTTATTATTGAAAAAGTGAAAATCTTACATAAGGTTTAGTTTGCTACCAATTTTTAGAGAAAGGAAATTAATATTTCAATTAATTATTAGCATTATAATAATAATAATAATAATAATAATAATAATAATAATAATCCGGCTTTATTTATACAAAGTATAAAAAGGCGAAGTGTCGCTAAAAAGCGTTTTTCAACTTAACCCAACAAATATTTATGTATATTTTCTAATCCCAATGAAAACAAGAGTTAAAAAAAACCTGTAACGAGTCCTTATTCATGACCATGGTCTACTTACTGGGCAATGAAATCAGAGATAAAATTCTTCAATCTTTTTTTAAAATTGTCATACAGTTAAATAACATATCATTTACTACGAATACTCTTCGTGACAAATACTCGTAAGAAAATAAGAGTAAAAGTTATATTTATTAGCTGGTGTGAGGAGCTGCATCTATACTAAGTGACATATAAATCCGAACACCCAGTTTAAATGGTTTTATTTTGATAAAATTTTGTATAAGTACTTAATGAAGCATAATAAGTAAATGATAAAAATTTCAAAATGATTGCACTGCTTTAAAGCCCTTTGACCTTTAATAATGTGTGGATGCACCCTGATGTGCCACGCATTCTCCAACGCGCCTAGGCATGCTTCTGATCAGGTGGTCAATGTTCTCTTGTGGTATCTCATTCCAGGCAACCACCAACTCCTCTCGAAGTGCTTCTAGAGTCTGAGGAGGACGTTGCAAATTGAGCAATCTCTTGCAACATGTGGTCGGGCATTATCTTGTTGGAAAGTTGGATCTGCCAGGGTGTCGAGATAGGGTAAAAGATGGGGTTCTAGAACTCCGTGGATATAACGCTGCGCGTTCATGTTACCTCTGATGAAGATTAAAGGTGACCTGGAACCATAAGCTATAGCACCCAAAACCATAACTCCAACAGTGTGATGAACATGTCTTTCAACAAAAACTGTGGATTCCTCCTTTCACCACGTCGCCTTCTAACCCTGGCACGACCATCGTGCATGCCTAAACAAAATCGAGACTCGTCACTAAAGACAATACTGTTCCATTCCTGCTCCCAGAGTGACCGTTGTCTGCACCACTCAAGGCGATTACGTCGGTGTTCTCGAGTTGAAGGGAGGACCCAGTGTGGCCGCTATGAAAACAAGCCAAAACTTCTCATTCGTCGGTAAACACTTCGCATGCCAATAGGTCTTCCGTGTTCTGCAAACCATTCATTTGCAATGGACCTGGTAGTGGAGAAACGGTCCCTTAAGGCCAATAATCTTAGGCGGCGATCTTCACGGTCTGTTGTTCTACGGCGGCGTCCAGTGCCCCTTGCTCTTTGCGTACGGCCTTCTCGAAGCCATGCCTGACAACACCTAACCACAGTGTCTACACTTCTTTGCACTCTAACCGCAATTGCCCGAAAAGAAAGTCCAGCTTCCCGAAGTCCCACTATACGGCCCCTATCAAACTCACTAAGTTGACGAAATCGTACAGGTCTCCGTACTCTAGGCATCGTAACCGATCGTAAAGGATGTCAAGAACCAAAATCCGCCAACGTTGATTCTTTACTGCGGCTGAAATATTCATTTTTAGAGCGTTAGTGAATTAAAAAAAGCAGTATAAAAACCGGAATGTCCAACTGATAAGGCTGAAAATTTTTTCACTTTTACAGTAAGATAAATACATTCACCAACTTTTATTAAAATAAAACCATTTAAACTGGGTGTTGGGATTTATATGTCACTTAGTATATGTTTACATAGCCTGTTATGACACTTGGAATTACACAATAAACTTTTTCTTGCACAAAAATCAGTGCAACATGGTTTTGACCGGTAATGAGTTTTGACTCTAACAGATTAAACAGTAAAAACCGTAACAGATGCATAGGAAATATGGAGACAATCTACTTGATTTATTTTTTTCCAGATAAAATGTTACCATCAATCAGCTCTTACTCGTTCCTCTACACCCTGTTCGCCTGGCTATTGGGCTTCTGCTACGGCTTCGTGCTTCTTTCTTCAGCTGCCGGCCACAACGCCGGTGTGAGACTCTTCGACGTGGGCTCAGCTGTCAGCTACAAGCTACACTCCACTTTGCTGTTTGACGAGAACGAAGAGAGTACCAAAGACGTCGGATTCTACATAGATGCTGATGTTGTGATCGAGGCTGTGTGGGAGAACGATGAACAAAGGCTGCTTAAGATAGAGGTAGGAGAGGTTTTCACGAGAAAGAAGCTTATGTCTTCCGCTAAAAAAGAGGAAGCTTAAGATTTTTGAGTAATAACAAAAATAAGCACTACATATTTAAGGAGAAACGTTTTTATTGAAAATGATCAATTTTGCTTATTTTGCGATGTATTCCTTTTCAAAGCAGTGATATACTTCAGAGATTTAACGTGAGCTTTGATCTTGAGGTATCCCCATGGAAAAACATCCAATGAGGTAAGTTCTGGCGATCGTGGTGGCCACATCTTTGTTTTAGCAATCCAGCAGTCGATGTTCCGGCTTGTTGTTTCAGCAACCTTAGTGTTTGTTGGGAACTAATTCGTTACTCAAAAAACATGCCCCTAAGAAAAATTGGGAATACGTATGGCAGAGACAAGCTTAGGCAGGCGCAGTTGAAAGTCAATCGTCGAGTTAACGGTTGGAGGGCACCTTTTAGATGTCTTGCTTGCATTTATGCCTGTTTGGTTTGCACCATTGTTTTGTACCTTTAACACCATAAATTTTGAATCATAGTGTGAAAAACATTATTTGTGAATTTCACATATATATGTATGTATATACCTGTATATATATATATACAGGGTGACTTCGAAGTTCAGTCATTTATTTTAACAGTGAGTAGATCTGATCAAAAGAAATGTTTTTTTCCTTTACCATTTTTCTGGTAAAATTAAAGTAACAAAATTATAGCCCTTTGGAAGTTTGAGTACCGCCCTGTCTCAATAATAATATTATGTGCTCGTGTCTGGCGACAACGGATATAATTCGCCTTATCGGTTCATCGCATCGGAAACAAAAAAGCGAAAGAATTTGGAACGATGTTTTTACAATTATTTCATTCAGTTGTATACAGTCAGTGTCAGTCGGTAGTGGATACTGGTGTCTGTTGCGTGGCTCAAACGAAATAAAAAATGGCACATGTTTATGCGGATCGGTTTCCCAATCGAGTGCAACCAACCCCTCGTGCCTTTGTTAATGTAGTACAACGGGTTCGTGAATCATTTGACTTAAGACCTCACATATGGACGGCATGCCGGTGCTCCAAGACCTCACGATCAAATACAGGTCCGCACTGAAATACTTGTCGGGAGGATACTTTATAAAACAAGGTAACATTTTTTTTTATTTTTACACACATATTTTGGTTTATTTTCCTTCTACAATCATTATCTGAAAATTAATGACTCAACTTCAAAGTCACCCTGTATATATCATGACACGTATATATATATATAGCTCTTGCAAGTTGGTCTTTAGCGACCTTGGCAGTGCGGCAAGTGGTTCCGTGTTGCTTAAATCACGTTCGTGACTTGAACGCAAAATGCTGTGTAAGCTGGGATATAAAATAATTTTTCGATTCGTATCATATATCGCTACGCCTCTCGCATGTTTAAAAAATGTGGATCGAGTGTTTGCTTTAACTTTATTGCATGATCATCATATTTGACACACATTAACCCTTTCTATGGAGCATCCTAAGAACAAAGCTTACTTTGAACTTTGAGAAGTATCCTAGACTTGAGTTGAAATATCCGGCGCGAAATAAGCGAAATTGAACCTGACATGCTCCAATCAATCAATCAATCAATGAATACATTGATATATCAATCAACCAATTAGTAAAACAATCAATCAATCAATCAATGAATCTATCAATCAACCAATTAATAAACAATTCAATAAACCAGGTTATCTATAAATCTATCAACCAATAAATTAATGAAACAATCAATCAGCCAATTTCGATCAATCAACCAATGAATAAATCAATCACTCAATCAACAGTAGATCAATCAATCAACCAATCAATCAATCAGAAGATCCCTTACTGTCCAAATACATTTTTACTGACAAAAGTAGAAATAAAACTCAGTACAAGATACAAGATAGTCAAGAACTACATAAAAGTGAAATATCATAAAACATGAGACAACATAAAACATGAAATAAATAATAATTGATCATAGTACGTCATCAAAGTATTGTTGCAGGCTATAATAGGCTTGTTGTACAACTAATTTCGTCACAAATTTCTTAAACATCTTGAAATCATTGAATATTTGGTCAGAGTAAATCGTTGAATATCATAGATTATTAGAAAATCTTTTTCTAGTTGAAATCACCGAGGTTACACATAAAATCTAGAAAAGCACCGACACCGGATGGGTTCATACCCCACTGGTCTAAGTTAGAAGAGCTGACGAACAAACCGTTCTTGATGGTGTGGAAAAATGGTAAGATCGAAAAGATTTTGCTGGCGAAAACTGAAGAAGTTTCCATGGTCAATTTGAAGAAGGGATTTGCCAGTTTGCTGCAGGTATGCTCCTTCCAAAGGTTTTAGGGTACGAATACGTGGGTTTGACCCAGCTTTGATCAGGGAGTCCGATCCTCCCCCAAAATATCGAAGTTTAATAAATTGGCATCAAGTAGATCGACTCTATACGACTACTTAAACGCTAAATGTATTAAGCTTGCGATAATATTCGCACTTGGGTTCACACGTCTGTTGTATATCAATGAGTCAATCTACTTGACGAAATATTCGGAGAACCATCATAGATGGAGTAACACAACTCAAAGGTTAGGCGACATGGGTGGTACATTTAAGGATTACCTATAATATTCAAAAAAATATTAAAGCAGTTAAGTACGTACTCCTAATATCCAAATATTGCTAAAATAGATAAATATTTCTCCTATGGCTGTGTCACTGACGACACCACCGCAGACCAGTTGGAGTTTGTTACCCATGGCGACGTGGACGCAATTAATTTTTTCATTTTCCCGTTTCCGAAAATGATTAGGAGTCTCTGAAACGTCAAGAAATAAAGTTTAAGTGATTTTTATTTTATTCGTCCCCGAAATGGACATTCCCTAAATATGAATCCTGAGGTTTTCCCGTCAGTACCTTTTTGAAAGAGTAATTTCGAATGGACCCACCGCAAAAACATGCACGCATTTTCCAGGTCCGGCCCTGATTTCGACCACTTAGTGCCCATATTATTAGTACGTATTCCAGATACCAAGAGTTTAAATACCCAATTTTCTTTGACTTGTTTGAAGATTATTTATTAGTGCATGAAAGCATCATAAACAACTGGTATTTGATTCCTTTTCATAAAATTGCCGTAAACAATGATAAAATCAGACAGTTGACTAGCGTGACGGCTTTCTATGTTAAAAATGAAACATGCAATCTCTGAAACAAAACGCTCCTGAAATGCCATTATCAGTAATATTTTTTTCACTCCAAAGATTGGCGTTGTTCGTGTACATCAAAGAATTTTTTAGTGCGTTTCAATTATTGAATATTAAAGCTTTTTTATATTTTTTCTGGAAAAGACTGTATGCCACTCAAGTGTATTATTTATTCATTATTATCATTTACCTGTCAGAATAAATGCCTATTTTATGTTTCCTGCATTTGAACGTAATAATAACGAGAGTTTTTTACTAGTAACACATTGCTTTTGTTAATTATTTCAGACACACAGGGTGTTGATAAAGTATCTGGATAAACTAACTAAACTGGATAAAATTTTGCAATAGTAGATAAAAGTAGAAATTTCAAAAACTCTTTAGTCAATTTTTTTTTACGAAATAATTGTGAAGTCTGGTTTCATTGATGCAAGTTGTTCAAGGGTGAAATTGAAACATGGACGCATAAAATGGGTACACCAATTTTTGCGGGAAACATTTTTATCCGACATCAAAGAATGAGAAAACGAGTTTTTTTGGATTCAATCGAGTCTAGTCGAGAATCATACTACATAACCAGTCGATTCCGATTTTGTTGTGGTTATTTAAAAGTAAGAAGTCTTCGGATTTGAAGAATTTCAAGTACGAGTAGCTGCGTGGAGTTATCGTCGTATTAGCAACAAAACATGCATTTTGACTCGGTTTTCGGCCATATCTTTTTTACTATTTGTGGACCTTTTTACGTGTAGTCTCATTCTGTAGGTCTTATAAATACTTAAAAATCTCACTTGTAGAGTTTTTTTGTTGCTGCCAACACTTTCGATTGAATCGCGTTTTCTCATTCTTTGTTGTCGAATAAAAAGTTTTCCCACAAAAATTGGTGTATCCATTTTATGAATCCATGTTTTAAATATCCCCTTGAACAAGTTGCATCAATAAAACCAGACTTTGCAATTATTTGGGGGAAATTCGTTAATATGATTAGACTATAATAATAATATAAAAGCCCTAACTCCAAATGGAAAAGTCTAACGGACTTAGCTACGGTGTTCTGGGTGGCCATGATAATTTTTGGCTATGCGTGTGATGCTAAATTTCAGCAAATAAAGTAAAACCAGCTACTAAGATTTACGGTAAAACCTCTTCCTGTGTTTTGAAGACAAAACATTGCTTTACCTATAGTAAAATGAGTTTTTTTGCTCAGAACCAGCACTTGAAGTTTGGAAAGGTACCTTATTCACACCTTGTATGTTAGCTAATACAGTTTTGCCCAACTCTGCTCCAATGGAGTACTGATACAGAACCAAAACTTCAAATGAACTGAATAGGCACGGTTTTGGAATCGCACATTTGTTTTTTACAATAATATGATTTAAATAAAGGTAATCAGATTACAACCGCAGGATATCGATTAAACAATTAAATGCTTCGCCTTTTAAGTCACTTCATTATTATGCGACATACTTTGGAACCATAAAATTATTATTGACTGTAGATCATCTTATTATATATTTATTGCGCATCACGAATGTGTGCATACACAATAAAGCAGTGTTTACTGTTATCCTAAAGTGAATCACTTCCATGGAGTCATTTAAATATAAAGTAAATGAGCATTACACAGGCTGGAACGCCCTTTTTGAAAGAATCAATAACAAACAACAAAATGTTATGCATCTTTAATTGTTAAAAAAAACAATTGGTTGTCAATTTCAATTCCTTAGTTTCAATATATAATAATAATATATTCTCCATAGTGTCCATCCATGACGGGTATGTCTCTCAGGGACCGACGTTTTCGATAATACAGGGTTATTACAAAAGAATCATCGGGCTTTAAAAATATACACCTTGGGAAAAAACATTATTATACATTATGATGAGGAAGAGAGATGGAAATATACAAAAGTATGTAGGTGCGTGAAAGACACTCGATTGTAGGATCCTATGTGGCAGCGTCGGAGTGTGACGGACAACGGGGTAAAGTAGAAGAGTGATAAAAGAGAGAGATGGCAGAACGGGCGCTGGCGCCTACCGCTTAGACGGATGCGCTCAACAAATGCGATTTGTTTCTCCCATTCGCAGAGTTGCCGATACCAATATGTCATATTTCTAAGAAATCTAAGTCTACCCAAATTTCGGGAAAAATAGCTGCGGATTCCACATAAGAGTATTCCAAAAATGAAAAAAAGTTCAAACTATTAAAATTGTATTAATGTTTCATGGTACAAATCATATTTTTCATGTTTGTATATTGTTGTATAAATGATTTTGTAATCCCTATTCTTGTTGCCAGTAGAGATACAACAGTATTGAGAGAAATCATGGACCGCTAGATAGGGCTACAACTACCATATGACTATCAAATAGTAGTGATAAACAGGGTTTGTTTATAGCACAGTTGCCTGGTGTGGCGAATTTATTTTTTATTTATTTATTTATTTATATATATACAGTTTGGGGTGTTAACAGGTAAACCCAACACACACCCTCAGTGAACTAAAACTAAACTTACATAAAATATCGTATACATATACATATATTACATTATTGAATACTTCAATATTAATATTTTTTTTATCCTCCGATATTGTTGTAACAACATAAACTGAGTGAGTAGTGCTAATTATAAGCAATTAACTATTAATTTAACTTTTTTAATAAAAGGAGTATACATAATTTAACATTTACTTACGTTTAATTAAAACTGAAATCAAAATTAAATTGAAATTATACCAGAAATGATATTGGAGGTGATAACTTGAGTTATGTAAAAAAATAAAACATTTCTATTTTAGTCTGCCATAGAGCTGTAATACTCATACTTTAAATCCTTTTTCAGGGAGGTCAAGCTAATGTTAAATAAATCTATATTACAGAAATTATTATGATTTTTTTGAGCCCTGAACAAAGGGGAATTAAGACCAAGATTGGTTCTACGGAACGGTATTCTAAACAGATGATAGGTTCTAAACGTTCTATCAGGAGTGTTAAAGTTCAAGTTTGCCAAAAGATCCGGACAGTCAGTGAGGCCATTCAACAATTTATGGACACAGCAAATGTCAGAAATCGTTCTTCTATCTTTTAAGGAAATCATATTGAACTGTTTCATAATTTGCGTATAATGATGATCTGTAACAGGTTGGTGAGTTTTATGTGCTAACATCTTCAAAAATTTGTGTTGAATTCTTTCTATCCTGAGTATATGTACATTGTAAGACGGATTCCATATTACTGATGCAAACATCAGTTTGTTGTGTATATAAGCGTAGTACAATGAAAGAAGCGTTTTTGGGTTCGTAAATTCTCTGCATGTCCTGTTTATGAACCCTAGTGTTCTATTTGCATCATTTACGATGTGCTCTACGTGGGTGATGAATGAGAGTTTCTCATCAATGTATACCCCTAGGTCTTTTACTACATGAAGCTTTTCCAGTTCTGCCGTCCCTATCTTATATCTGAAATCTATAGTGTTCGCTATGTTTCTAGTAAGCCTCATGTAATGACATTTTGTTAAATTCAGGAAGATACTGTTTTCAGTGCAATACTTTTGCAGAGATTCCAAATCGCTTTGAAGTTTTACACCGTCATTTACATTTCTAACAACAGTAAATATCTAAATATAGATCATCAGCATATAACAAATATTTACTGAAATGAAAAACAGAAGTAAGGTTGTTCATGTATATGTTAAATAACAATGGTCCTAAGTGACTACCTTGTGGTACGCCTGAAGTTACTAAGAATGTCTCCGAACGATACCCATTGATAGTCACCACTTGTTTACGATTACTTATATACGATGCTAGCCACTGCCATAATGGACCATCTACACCCACCTCAGCAAGTCTCTCCATCAAGATAGAATGATCAATCTTGTCGAAAGCCTTACTGAAGTCGGTATAAATATATATATATATATATATAATTTGCGCCATAGTGGCGATTTGACAACTTTGAAGGACAACTATAACGGTTACTATTGTGCCCGGTATTTGGGAATCTGGCAATACCTGATTATTCCTAACGTTTATTACGCCAGATTGTTTGCTGACTTGCGCAGTACAACATGACAATCAACGTGACTGAGCACCTGGTAACCCTGGTTTAAGGTGTTATATTTAAAGAGCTTGGGACAGTTAGGTATCTAGGTCACATTTTTTAATGTATTTCGAGAAATCCGTAATGTTGAATAAATACTAGATCACGTTTCTTGCTTAGTTTGCTGAAAATTCTACAATAGACGTACATTTTGAGAAACAGAGATTTGGTGACGACAAAATCGTAAAAATATAACGCATTTTCGTAAAATAATTTCTTTGTTGAAAAGACTGTGGCTTGATGACCCATTGAACGAGTATAGTGTCCCGCTCCGCTTTGAATATTCGAAACACTATGCTCCAGCAGCATTCAGCTTCAATGTTATCTTTATGAAGTTCTAACGTCTAGGCCATGCTAATTAAAAGCTTGAATGAATCAACACTTAACTCTAAATTCCCCACAATTTGGGAAGCTCTACTCAAATTGGCAACACAGCGTATCTGCCTATTATTCTCATTCGTGATACAGGTCTGCGGTTAACGGTAGGAAATATGTACGAATAGCGATGAAAGTAGACGAGCCAAGCGCTGTTGCCAAGAAATGATTTCCCATGTATAACAATGGTTTTTCCTAAGGTGTATATTTCTGAAGGTATTATAGATATAACAGTAAGTGACATGTCAATGGAAAGCTAAAATATTCAAGATTTTAAGCATGTTATTATAAATTTTCGATGTGGGCTCCTTGCGTCATACGACATAAATATGTACAAACGATAGTCCAGTTCGGCCCATACACGCTGCAATGTGTCTCGATCGATATTGTTAATAACAGTAGTAATGCGTTCTCGGAGTTGACCCAATGTTGTTGGCAGAGGTGGTATGTAAACCATATCTTTAATGTAACCCCAAAGGTAAAAATCGCATGGTGTAAGGTCGGGAGACCTGGGAGGCTACGCGAACAATACCAAATCTTGAGCAGTACCTCGGCCCATCCAACGGTGAGGCAGTGCCTCGTTTAAATACCGACGCACCTCATGATGCCAGTGAGGCGAAACTCCATCTTGTTGGAATATGAAGTTGTTAGAATCTTCTGTTAGTTGCGGAAATAACCACAAATGCAACATATCTAGGTAGGATGAACCGTTCACAGTGTTTTCATGAAAGAAAAAAGGCCCCTTTATTTTTGGATATTGCACAGAAGACATTCAATTTTGGAGAATCCCTTTCATGTTGCACAATCATATGAGGATTTTCCGTGCCCCATATCCAAATGTTATGACGGTTCACCCTTCCACTTAAATGAAATGTCGCTTCGTCGATGAATACCAGACAGTTAGCAAATTCGTCGTCATTTTGTATACTGAGCTCGTGGCGCTACCTAGGGAGGTAAAGCGGCGTTCGCAAGCACGTGCTTTAAACCCAAGCATTTTCCTTTTCTAGTGAATGTCATTTGATATTATAACGGGTGATTTTTTAAGAGGTATAGGATTTGATTTTCAAAAAAAACACAAAAAAATTGAAAAAACTATTAAATCTTTATTTGAGTCGATAGAACGGTCGATATAATTCAATGTTAGAAGATTATTTCATGTAAATGTTGGCCGCGGCTCCGCTTTAGATGGCCCATGCGTAAGGTCCAATTTTGGCACACTCTCTCCAACATACCGGCCGGTATCTCACGAATAAATGCTTCAATATTGGCCCAGTGCGTCAATCCTTGCTGGTTCATCCCTGTAGACATTAGCCTCAACATGGCCCCACAAGAAATAGTCCAACGGCGTTAAATCTTACGATCTAGGCAGCCAATTGACGGGCCCCAAACGTGAGAGAAACTGTTCACCGAACTCGCCTCTCAATAGGGCCATTGTTTCGTGTGCGGTGTGGCATGTGGCACCATCTTGTTGAAACCACATGTCAGCCAAGTCCAGCTCTTCCATTTTGGGCAAAAAAAGTTTGTTATCATCGCACGGTAGCGCTCGCCATTCACAGTTACGTTCCGACCATTCTCGTCTTTGAAGAAGTACGGCCCGATGATGCCACCGGCCCATAATCCACACCAAACAGTGATTTTTTCGCGATGCATTGGTAGCTTTTGCAATGCTTCTGGCTGGTCTTCACTCCAGATGCGGCAATTTTGCTTGTTAACGTACCCATTCAACCAGAAGTGAGCTTCGTCGCTGAACACAATTTTTCGATAAAAATGTGGATCTTCCTCCAACTTTGCCAGCGCCCATTCACCAAATTGGAAACGTTGTGGGAGGTCGTGTGGCTTCAATTCTTGCACCAGCTGTATCTTATAAGGTTTTACACCCAAATCCTGTCGCAAAATTTTCCACGTACTGGAGTAACAGAGGCCCAATTGCTGCGAACGGCGGCGAATCGACATTTCACGGTCATCACTAACACTGGCGGATACAGCCGCAATATTTTCTTCAGTCCTCACTCTAAGTCTGCGTGTTGGTGGTTTAATGTCCAATAATGGAAACTGGGTTCGAAATTTAGTCACAAGCTTCCGAATAGCTCCCTAAGTAGGCCGACCAAATTGCCCATAAATTGGAAGCAGTGCTCTCTCTCTCTCTCTTAACCGAGCATGAATTTTGAAGCGTTGTTCGTTCGTAAGTCGATTCATGGTTAAATTATAGACCAAACTGAACAAGTTTGACAATGACACAAGACACGATTCACGCGTCATCTGTCAAAAACAGTGTTGCCAAAAAGATACTAGCAAAAAAATCACCCATTACTTGCAATACTCTCTGAAATATAACTTTTTAAAACCCGATGATTCTTTTGTAGTAACCCTGTATAATTAATTCCTTTTTACTTATATAAAAGATCTAATTATTAACAAAATAACAAAACAGTGTATAACGTTGGAATCGGAGCCCGTTCTAAGGAACTCTTTGCTTTTTATTGGACACTTCTTCAGTGTGTAATACTAGTAATACCTTTTTTAGATACAGCTTTCAGAAGGTACTGTTGATGAAACCGATGCTTCAGGAAAATGTACAGCTACGTATACCTCACAGTCATCAACGAAGATAGTAAAAACAAAGTCGAATTGTACATCGGATGATTTTTATAGGGTAAACAATCCACACGAATTTTTAAGAGTCAATAGGAATTCTTTTATAACCGTTGAATACGAGGCTGATTCTAGCAAAACGTACCTTAATTCTATAGTGGCAAGGGAAAATCATGTGATGTATTTACCAATTAAAGAAGATATAGGTGAGTTAATAGAGGGTTTTATTTTTATTTTTAACTCGAAAGTAGTGACTTAGCGTTAAATATTCAAATCCAATTCAGTTCAATCGAAAACCTTCATTTCATAATTGTTGCTTATACAGGGTGTCCCAGAAGTCGACGTCAAGCCGAAACCGGGTGATAGGCAAAGTCATAACAGCTATCAGAAAAATATTTAAAAAAATTTTATGTATGTGTTTTGAAAATTATAGGTCTTTGAAAAAGATATAGAAATTTCACACCCTACGGCAGTCTGTCAACTCCTGTTACTACAAATGTTAACTTTTTTTGGATTTTATTTTTACAATGTAATGATGAATGATGCATCTTCAAACTGGTGTCTCAACCTTACTGCCAACTTTTCTCGTTCAGGAAAAATTGCCACTTATTTCTCAACCAAGTATTCCAAAGTAAAACTTTGCTCAACTTTAACTGGCTGTACTGGAAAAAAATGTACTACGAGAGTTTGGCAAGTAACCTTAAAAGCTGGCGCATTTAATAACGATTCCAAAATGGTATAACACTTAGAAGATTACTCGTTAACTTATGCACAATTTTTATTTGAAAAAAAAACTGATGAAAATTTTTCAAAATTTCCTAATTAAACAGCGATTATGAAAACGCACAAAGACCCCTAAGGATAACTGTTTGCACAACAGTGGGCGTCAAAATGCTGCTGATGATGATTTACCTTTACAGCAAATGCTCAAACTGTTTTCCTTCAGCCGCAATACACGCTCGACATCTTAAAAAAGATCGGGTTATTAAACGAGTGAATCCACGGTTATTAACAAACTCAGCTGCTTCCAATAGTCTTTGGCGTAGCTCAGCTACATTTTGAATCGGCTTGAAATACACTTTTTCTTTTACAGTTCCCCAGTAAAAAAATCTAAAGGATTCAAATCAGGTGACCGGGCTGGCCACGGTATTGTACCAGACCGCCTTATCCATCTGCCTGGAAAGTTTTGATCGAGATACTCTCTCACTGAGAGTGCATAGTGCGCAGGGCAGCCATCATGCTGAAACCACATGTCCCTGTAAATACTCAGTGGCACGTCCACCAATAAATTTTGTACATGATTTTTCAAAAAATCCAAATAAACTTCAGCAGTTAAAGTCTCTGGGAACTCAAACGGACCGATTATTTTACCATTTAAAATTCCTGTCCAATGGTTTATCTTGAAGCGATATTGAGATTTATCTTCTCTCATCAAATGTGGGTTTGCTACGTGCCACTCGTGTAAGTTATGCAGGTTCATGTACCCATCTTTCTTATATGTAGTCTCATCTGACCATAAAATTTTTTCAAAGAACCGTGGATCTTTCCTGTGTCTTTCTAACATTGTGCGACAAAAAGCAACTCGGGGCTCATAATCCCGGGGTAGGAGAGGTTGAACACGCTGTATGTGGTATGGATGAAGCACAAAGTACAGCCCATAGAATCTTGCAAAAAAACGTGCTCCATCCATACCACGTACAGCGTGTTCAAGCTCTTCTGCCCCGGGATTATGAGCCCCGAGTTGCTTTTTGTCGCACAATGTTAGAAAGACACAGGGAAGATCCACGGTTCTTTGAAAAAATTTTATGGTCAGATGAGACCACATTTAAGAAAGATGGGTACATGAACCTGCATAACTTACACGAGTGGCACGTAGCAAACCCACATTTGATGAGAGAAAATAAATCTCAATATCGCTTCAAGATAAACCATTGGACAGGAATCTTAAATGGTAAAATAATCGGTCCGTTTGAGTTCCCAGAGACTTTGACTGCTGAGGTTTATTTAGGTTTTTTGCAAAATCATTTAGAAAATTTATTGGAGGACGTGCCACTGAGTATTTACAGGGACATGTGGTTTCAGCATGATGGCTGCTCAGCGCACTATGCACTCTCAGTGAGAGAGTATCTCGATCAAAACTTTCCAGGCAGATGGATAAGGCGGTCTGGTACAATACCGTGGCCAGCCCGGTCACCTGATTTGAATCCTTTAGATTTTTTTACTGGGGAACTGTAAAAGAAAAAGTGTATTTCAAGCCGATTCAAAATGTAGCTGAGCTATGGCAAAGACTATTGGAAGCAGCTGAGTTTGTTAATAACCGTGGATTCGCTCGTTTAATAACCCGATCTTTTTTAAGAAGATGTCGAGCGTGTATTGCGGCTGAAGGAAAACAGTTTGAGCATTTGCTGTAAAGGTAAATCATCATCAGCAGCATTTTGACGCACACTGTTGTGCAAACAGTTATCCTTAAGGGTCCTTGTGCGTTTTCATAATCACTGTTTAATTAGGAAATTTTGAAAAATTTTCATCAGTTTTTCTTCAAATAAAAATTGTGCATAACTTAACGAGTAATCTTCTAAGTGATATACCATTTTGGAATCCTTATTAAATGCGCCAACTTTTAAGGTTACTTGCCAAACTCTCGTAGTATATTTTTTTCCAGTACAGCCAGTTAAAGTTGAGCAAAGTTTTACTTTGGAATACTTGGTTGGGAAATAAGTGGCAATTTTTCCTGAACGAGAAAAGTTGGCAGTAAGGTTGAGACACCAGTTTGAAGATGCATTATTCATCATTACATTGTAAAAATAAAATCCAAAAAAAGTTAATATTTGTAGTAACAGGAGTTGACAGACTGCCGTAGGGTGTGAAATTTCTATATTTTTTTCAAAGACCTATAATTTTCAAAACACATACATAAAATTTTTTTAAATATTTTTCTGATAGCTGTTATGACTTTGCCTATCACCCGGTTTCGGCTTGAAGTCGACTTCTGGGACACCCTGTATATAATAGAGTAGAAAATGTCCCTTTCAAATATGATATTGTTGTATTTATAGTTGAAACTTAAACATAACTTGCATCAGCTTGCAGAGTGAAAAGTGAACAGATCCTATCCTATGTCTCGAGTGAAAAAATCAGAATCCTAGAAGCAAGTACTGTCGAGGAAGCTATAGAAAGTATAAGTAAAACAGAAGGATTGATATTTACCCAGGAAACACTGTTAACTGAGAGGGAATCTCTGGATGAGGAAACACACAGTTTCACGAAACAAGTTGATAGTTTAAGAGGTTATCTAGATGCCAAAGATTTGGGTAGCTTAAAGCCAGCCAAAGCTTTTATCAAGTTAGTTACGACTGCTAGGAGAGCATCTAAAGATGATATTTCCAAAGCGCTGTCGTCAAAGAAGAACAAGGGAATTTTGTGAGTATGTCATTGATACAAGTAAATGATTTTTATTGTTATATCGAGCGCCAAAATGGAGAAGACTAGAACATATTACGTATGTCACTGTTAACGTGACGTGTTTTTGTGTACTTAAGGCCCGTATCGTCAGTCGTCCCTACAATTGTAGGGCGTCTTTATGGCCTCCTTGATTGTCACAGTTTTCTACTTCTCCGTGTCAGCGCTCTATTTTGAGGTTATGTCACAAACATCTATTTGCATCAAGTTGTGCTTGCTTTTGAGTTGTATCATGTTTTATCAGCATGAAATTTCCTACAATTTAAAAAGAAAACATAGGAGAGAAAGGAGTATGACAATCAAGAAGGCCATAAACGCGCCCTACAATTGTAGGGACGACTGACGATACGGGCCTAAGTGTGTATGTTACCGTACTCAAAGACACACCGCGTTAACACTGCTATACGGTCTTGCTCTACAATTCTGGTACTTGATTAAATATAAAGCCGTTGTTTTACAGGCTTCAGCTGTACGATATCCTTGGATATGCTCAAACCAAAGACTCCCATGAGGCTGTGATGAAATCCATACATTTAGACAATGAAAACCAAATTGAGGTCAGCGAAAGGTATTTGTGGGCTACGTCGTTTTCTTCACAACCAAATCCTGACATAGCTGAGAACCTTTTGAAGCAGTACAAGAAATTAACGAATATTCCGCCAAAAATTCAGGAGACGTTGGTATTGACCCTTGGTTCTATGGCGTATAAGCTTGGCAAGCTGCCTGACAAAAAGTTGCATGTAAAGGTGCGTATATAGAAAATAATGTCCACATTTTTGAAAATGTATCTTGTTTTACAGAAATGAATAATTTATCCCACCAGTTGATACCTATTTCAATTGTAAGTAGAAATAGGCATACGTAGTCTGGTGCCGACAACCTCTTATCCTTACTACTATACAGGGTGTCCCTCGTAGCACTACAGCGATCTATGACTCAAAAAGTTGCCGTAAGTCATTGTGAAAATTTGAATTTGGCTCAGTAGTATTATTAACTAAAGCAATTCGTTTAAGATATTTTCAAAATTGCAACACTTTTGGTTCTACCGGAAATAAATACCAACTAACTTATTTTATTACGTATATATTACGAGCCCCTTACCACTTCAGTTGGCCCACTTCAAGATTTGTACCAAAATATGCCTTTATAAACTAAACATGACGAAACTATTTACTTCTAAAACAATTTATTTTCTCAAAAACATTTTAGATACACTCTAGTCGTAAAAAATACATATTTGAAATCACTTAGACCTATAACTTATAGAACATCTGAACAAATAAACAATGTGCGAATAAATGCGCGAAGTTAACAAAGCAACAATTGAAAGATTACCATTGGGTAACATCACCTTTATTTGTTATTACGGCTGAAATTCTTTGGGGCATAGTGTTAACCAAGTTTTGGCAAAAATTTGCTGTAAAACAATCCCATATTTCTTGAAGCTTTTGTCTCAGTTCGGTGATTGTACGAGCAAGATGTTGTCGTAGAACCTTTTTCATCTCGTGCCACAAAGTTTCAATAGGTGACAGATCTGGACTGCTAGAAACCCATTTCAAAAGTGGTACATTATTTTCTTCCATCCATTTTATAGCCTTTTTTGAGGTATGGCACGCTGCACCATCTTGCTGAAGCACAAAATCTTGGCCGGATGTCAAACATTCTTCCATCACTGGTAAAAGCGATTCTTCTAAAATTGCCAAATATTTGTTTGTATCCACATTTCCATCAATAAAATGAAGTTTTTCTACTCCTTTTGATGACATACTGCCCCAGACCATAATGGATGCTGGAAATTTCACTTTTCTCTTCAGACAGTCAACATGGAATGCTTCATTTTTTTTACGAATAACTCTACTGCGACTGTTACCAACACAAACTTCGAATCGGGCCTCATCACTCCATTGTATTGCACACCATTGTTGAGGTGACAATTGTCTATGTTCTTTAGCCCATCTAAGCCGATCTTTCTTTTGCAGTGGTGTTAATAGTGGCGCTCTTCTTTTGTACTATAAACAAGTTGTGCAACTTTAGGGTTTTTACTTCACTTTTTTTTGTAAGAAAACTTACCTTGCAAGTTCTAAATCCCAGTTTGTGGGCCTCTCTATGAGTTGTGGACCTCGAAATTCTCCTTCCAACAGCGTCACTCCACAGAGCATTTAATTGTTAATAATTGGCACGCCTGTTTTTCACGACTATTCTTCTTAATGCTCTTCGGTCGGCATTTGTGATATTACTTTTTTTCACATATCGTGGCTTAATATTAACTGAACCAGTTACGTTATATCTTCTAACAATATTTCTCACACTGTACCGCGATAAGTCTAACAAAGTTGCAATTTCCGAGTTTGATTTCCCAGAATTAAAAAAATTAATTATCAGTAACCGAATTTTCTCACTAATAACCTTTCCTCTACCCATTTTGAAAACCTTAACTACCCAAAACTATTTTAAACGTATTGTGACAGCTTTGATTAATAAAAGCAATTGTCATGGCTTTTATTTTTCACAGCCACCTATGCGTTATAGACTTATTTTGTATTCAAATGAAAATAGGTTGATATGCTGTAATTGCAACATGTGTTATTTTTAGCTGCAAATTTGATTAGAGAGTGATAAAGTTGGTGTTTTCTACTATATATTATCAAAATATTCATTGTTAATATTTTAAACCTATAACACCCTGCTACATTTTTATTATTTGTGTTTGATAAGAAAAAAACTAAGATTTCAATAGTTGGGCCAAGTGAAGTGGGAAGGGGCTCGTATATTTATATTTTATGTTCAATTTTTGTATTTTACGCAGGACTCTGAATACATTTCATGATTATCATCCTAAATTTAGGACTAACTGATTTTGTGTCAAAAATGACAAATGCTGAGCAATTACTTTTTTTGAATGAATTTTTTCTAGTATTTTAGCATTTACGACATAATTTGTAACGAGTTTCTAATAGAAGGATACCTACTTTAGAAGATTTTATTTCGGATTCCGCGAAAATTAGATTTTTAAGAACGCAATAAGCCAATTTTTTTCAAATCTTCATCTTCTTATAATGTTATTTGATAAAATTGACTTTACTCTTGATTATGATATGGTAAAAAGCTTCGGGAGCAACAAACAAAGCAATATTTCCGTATTCATCGAACACTATTAATTTGTGTTGTACACAATATTTTACTAAATTAATATTACTTTCAATGATTAACACGATAAAATTATAAAAAAACGACGGTTTCCATTACCTTTCTGAAACTTATTTTTCATTGGGAATAAAATCTACTAAAGTAAATCTCGCACCTCTCATGATACAATCCAAAATACAAGAAAAAATTGTCATGTCATTGAGCTCTATCTGTCACTTTTTGCATAAAATTTGACATAACTCAAAAACTGTTAGACTTAAGTATATGATGATATACATGAAATGTCTTCAGACTCTCGCGTAAAATCCCAAAACTTAATAATATGCGGAGCATTCTATTTGAAGTATGCAAGCTGGTATATTCTTTCGGTTCAACCGGAAATGCCACTATTTTGAGAATATTAGATCTGAACTGCTCCCACGAATTATAGTATAAAAACAAATTTTCATAAGGGTCTTACATCAACTTTTCAAGTTCTACGTCAGACTCCCTGCATACATGTCGATCATCGTCTTTAGGCGTCAGCGTTGCCATCTCAAGAATTGTTGTCGCAGATTACGAAATTTCCTTTTCCTTGGTTGAGAAATAATAACGTGCCCTGAAAGTTTTGGCGCAAAAAAATTATCGGATGTTTAAAAAAGAAAACGAAGAACCTTTACCAGAAACGCCAAATATAATAACTCTTGAAAAGACAGAAATCTCCCAAGAAGAAGTGAAACAAGGAATACATAAATTAAAAAATAGAAAGTCACCAGGAGAAGATCAAATACCAAATGCACTCTTAAAATATGGAGGTGATTACCTTGTACAATAACTGCAACTCCTTATTCAAAAAATAATCACCACGAACAGAATACCAGATGAATGGAGGATAGCGATCATGCTGATGTTCTTCAAGAAACGAGATAAGAAAGACCCCAATAATTATCGAGCAATAAATCTGTTAAAAGCAACACTCAAATTGACAACAAGAATAATTGCGACAAAAATAAACGAACGAATAACTCTGCAAGAGGAACAGCAAGGATTCCGGACAGGAAGATCATGCACGGATGCAGTTTTTGTAATAAGACAAATAAAAGAAAAGTCGCTGGAATACAACAAACCAGCATATACATTATGTGCCTGATAGATTTGAAGAAAGCGTTTGACAGAGTGAGAATTCGGGACGCGATACGTTTATTATATGACAGGGGAATACCACTGGATTTAGTAAAAACTATTGAGAATGTATATAAAGATAACATAGCTATGGTAAGATGTAAAGGAAAACTCTCGCAACCTATCAAGTGTGATATAATAGATCTGATATAATGGATGAAATCATAAAGGAAGTTAAAAAAAGAAGAGGATATAGAATTCGAGAAAAGGAAATGCAGATAATATGCTACGCCGACGACGCCATAATAATAGCCAAAAATGAAGATGACCTACAAAGATTAATTAAAGAATTCGAAGATAGGGCGCTCATATACAACATGGTGATTTCAACAGAGAAAACTAAATCGACAGTGATATCAGCGGAACCGAGTCGATGTAAACTGGTCGTAAATAACAAAATAATAGAACAAGTGTTGGAAACGGAATACTTGGGAATCAAACTGTCAAGCTATGGAAAAGTGGAAGAAGAAGTACAAAAACAAGTGAACATGGCGAACAGAGCAGCAGGATGTCTCAACAATACAATCTGGAGAAACAAATATACCTCACAACGGAAACGAAAACTAGGATATATAAATCAACAATAAGCCCGATAATGACGTAGGTACACAGCGGAAACAAGAGCAGATACGGAGAAAACACAAAGATTATTGGAAACAGCAGAAATGAAAGTCTTACGAAAAATAACAAACCAAACTCTAAGAGACAGGGTAAGAAGTGAGGAAATACGGGCGAGATGTGGTATAGAGGAAATAAACCTGTGGACCAAAAGAAGAAAAATAGAATGGAATCAACACATAGAACGAATGATAGAAAATAGAACAGTACGAATAGCAAGAAACAAATCGCCAAATGTAAGAAGATCAATGGGACGACCGAGGAAAAGATGGTCAGACAACATCGATTGAGGCTAAAAACGTAAAAATGTCTCTCATGAGATCCTGGACGGAATTCAGATCAATTTCTCTCAGTTTTTCGTAAATTCGCCTTCTTAATTTTTCTCCATCTTGGGCTTACCAGCCTCCATGATAAACCTTCCTAGACAGAAAAGCCTCTATTGGGGGAGCCTGTTGGAAGTTTGGAGAAGTATCGTTTTTGGGAACAAATGGCATGTTGTGTTGTCGAAGTCAGTTTTGAGAATCTCTTGAGTAATGACATGATGCTAGGTCTGGCCAAAACATGATATGGTCATTAGCATGATGTTCGTGGACAAACTGAAGCAATTATTAATATAGCTCTGATTATTCAAAGCTTCACCCCTTACTCTTCCGACAAATGTTTGGGATACACCCCTGTTAGAAATTGCACACCAGACAAGGATTTTATCTGCAAATTTCGCTTTATGCTTGTATCTAACATTGTATCTACGTTGTCAGTAAAAAATCGCTATATATGTTACTATAAATACGAAATTTTAAGATAATTACGAAGCAGGTTGAGGGGTGATCTTCCTTTAAGAGGTTGATCATATTTGAGAATGATTAAATTTCTTTGTTGCATGTGAACTTTCAAATAAATCGACAAAGGCTTCGGTAACTTGTTCAACAATTTGTATGCCTATTAAAACTATAGTAGATGTTATCTTTCAGATAATTCGTGATATCGAGGAAACCATCCTGAACAATTTAGACTATGCCAAAGGTGAAAACAAATTCGTATTCTTCAGAGCTTTGAAGAATCTCCATTCTCCTAGCACCATTACAGTACTTTTGAATTATGTAACGAATGGAACCCAAAAAGAGGGCGTACTAGCTTGGAAGGCTATCAAAGCCTTTGGTCCAGATTTGTGGGATGAAAGGATCCAGTCAGCTGCTGTTAAGGCCTTTTTCCAATTGGACAGGAAATACGATTCCAGTTCAAGAACTTTAGCGGCCGATATCTTGATAGAATCTCAACCAAACGACAGGTAATGACGGCTCTATGTCCAACCAACCATTTACCAGCACAATTTTATCCTCATTGGGATTCATCAGTATAGAACGGGCAACAAGCGAAAACAAAGATATACGTAAAGACACACGGCCATAGAGTGGAAGCGCAAAGAATTGTAATAAAATTCCTAAAGCAACGTGTAAGGCTTAACGTGTGCATTCAAAACATTCGTAACGGTTCTCTTCGCTTTGCTTCGCCTCAGTGGGCGTGCAGCTTTTATGACTTCGGGCGATTTGTGGTAATAGGGATCCAAAAAATGGCTCGAAAATGTTATAGCTTTTTTCAACTCTATTCCATTTTCCATCTAATTTCAGTGAAATATTAACATATCTTTCTGTCTCCACGTAGATTGCTAGAAGACATCCTGAACTTCCTCATAGGAACCGATCCAGCGTACGAAGTCAAGCAGTACGCCAACCGAAAGATTGGGATGCTTGCCGATGAAGATAACACAATCAGAGCTAGAGTACAGAAAATAATAAGAAAAAATCCAAAGTTGAACAACTACCATGGACTAGCTCCAAGAGGTTTGTCGCTTGCTCTTACGAGAAGGTTTATGTCAAATCCGTATAGCAATGGCAGTTTAGTGACCGTGCAAGAGATGAAGAGTGGTATTGCCAAGAGAGGGACTGTTGATGTGGTTCTGGATAAACATGGGTTCTCCAAGGAACTGTTCAGCGTAAGTATATTGTACATTTTTATCTTCATTTGGATTGAAACTATCGCGCTAGCTCAGCAAGTGCGTATTCCTTTGATAACATTTTTGCGATTTGTACTAACGAGAAAGGCTGTCGAGGTGGCCGAAACTTCAGTGAGCAGGCGACTCTATACACAATTTCCAACAGGACATCGGAAATTACCCTTCCAACCTGTTTCATGCTACAATTCCCTTGACCGTTCAATGCCAAAATATACCTCGGCCGACAGACACTACAGATACCAGATGATTTTTCATTTAGATTCATTAAAATGAAAAGCAATATCTGGTAACTGCTGGCCGGGTTCAGGAACCGGGCCAGCGATGTCGTTCGTTTGTGGTCCTCATTACCATCGATGGTATGTTTTGGAATGGGGTAAATGGGAACGGAAAGGAATCTAACTCACGAAACTTAGCCTGTGGTTTTTATGTCCATAGGACTCCATAGCCAGCAGCGGTGGTGTAGTGGTAGACGTTATGGGTCTACTAATCAGTTACTGTACGCCGCGCGGATTGAATCCCGTCCCAAGAAATTGTTTTCTGTTTACTACGGATGTTGTGATTATCCGTACCGCGGTTCCACCCGGCGGGGCCAGAATGCGTGCATGTTGCATGCACGCGTCTTCCCTCGCTAGAGTCCGTGTGGCGCCCCCCTTTACCCTGTATCGCCTATAGCCCCGCGGTACCCATGCGTGTTTAGGCCTTAGGTCTACGTAGAGTTTGGATTACGAGGGCGGTTCAATAAGTACCCGTGTTAGAAATGAAGACACCATTTAAAAAAAAATCTTTTTATTTTTCAACATAATCCCCTTTTAGACAGATTCACTTTTCCCACCGTTCCTGCCATTATTTAACCCGTCCAAAAATAGGATCTGTCGAACACTCCAAAATACGCCTCTGTCTCGGCGATGACTTCCTCATTTGAGCTAAATTTTTTCTCCTCGAGCTATTTCTTCAAGCCAGGGAACAAGAAAAAGTCGCAGGGGATCAGATCGGGTGAATACGGGGGGTGCGGCAGCACTTCATAACGAAATGCATGCAGTTTGGCGGTGACAACTCCGGATGATGTGCTGGGGCGTTATCGTGGTGAAACACCGTCAATTTTTCGTCAAAGCAGTCCAATAACTCACTATAGTATTGTCTAGTGATCATTCTTCCTTTTACTAACAAATCCACGAGGATGACGCCGTTCGAATCCCAAAAATTCGTCGCCATGACCTTACCGGGCGATGGAACCGTCTTCGCCTTCTTTGGAGCAGATTCACCGGGAGAAATCCATTATTTTGATTGCTGCTTAGTTTCTGGCGGAAAAGCTCCTTCGGATTTCACTTAAATTGCTCCAAACACTGCTTCGAAGTTAACAGCCGCATCCGCTTGTTGTCCACCGTGACCAATTGCGGCACCCATCGGGGCGACAATTCTTTCATAGCCAGCTTATCATGTAAAATATTGATTGCCGTTCTGGTCGACACACCTACGGCCTCTGCTACTTCGCGCACTTTCGTTCATCGGTCAGCGAGAATCATGTCGTGGACTTTTTGAGTGATTTTCTCGGTAACTACGTCTGCCGGGCGTCCTGATCGATCCTCATCAAAAACGGATGTTATCCCACGTTTAAATTGGCTGAACCAATATCTAACTGTGGTCATAGATGGCGAAGGGTCCCCATAAACGGCATTCAAATTTGATTTTATGTCCTCGCATTTTTTACCTTCCAAAAGCAAAAGCGAATTATCTAACCATACTGCTCTTTTTCCATCTTAGCGAAATACACGAAACACGTGTTACTCGAATGGCTGCCAAATCCAAACTAACCTAACAATCAGTCTGAAATTTGTTGTACCGTCGTTTGACAGACGGCAGCACACGATGATAATATTAACTTCCCTCAGGAACGCCAATCCATCAAACACGGGTACTTATTGAACCGCCCTCGTATAAAACAATTTGGATTGAAATTATTAATCTGGTGTCAATTTGGCACTGTTATCGACGACTCGGAATTTAGTCCGCCTATAACCGATCAATAAAAATGAAAACATCGCACAGATATGGGTTTTTTTTCCTACAATTTTTGCGACAATAAACTTTTTTGGTGGCGCATTTGCCGCCATTTTCAAACGCGTATGATTGAATATATCGAAAACCATCGACGTAAGACAGTATTAGATATAATTTTGCAGGTAATTAAATTTTTATATCACCTTGCTTCTATAAATATTTGCCAACTATATCTCCTTCTCCATTAAAATCGGTGCAACGGTTACTGAAATTAAGCAGTGACAAACTAGCCAACAGACAGGCTAATGGAAGTGGGTCTTCATAATGAAAACATCACAAATTATCAAAAATATTACATTTTCCATATTTGTGATAGTAAAAAACAGGATTCAATTTAAAATGGTTTTCATCATAAATAATGATTATGAAGTTATCCCCACGTGGAATGATGTATGTTGTTTGCGGATAATGTGGGCAAAGTATGTAGCTCTCGGGACATGTTGCGCGACTGTTTTGATACGAATTCTCAACTTTCCTTTTTGTGCATACTTCAAGAACCATCACTGTGACGAAAAAACATAAAAGACCTTTTTATACCAAATTTTATTATCTACAAAAAAAGTTGTGTTTTACATCCTTAAATTATTAATTTATACATTATAAGCGGAAATATTCTCACATTTACCTTTTAATTCCACTGTCAACGAGTTTGCTTTTCTACAAAATTGTTTCCATTTCATCTGAGATACGTTGGTAGATTTAGTCGGGTGCATAGATGCCGAATAAAATATGAATTTGATCCTAAGATCAACAGGAATTTCCATTATGATCATTTTATGCCACAAACTCGGCTCAACTACATTTTGTATTCTTTTTTTTTGATGGCCATTTCGGATCAGGCGCTTGAAATTACCTAAGAACGAGTAGCTACGTTCAACCAAAATGGACATTTTTCGCAGCAAAGCTTCAGTTATTATGAATTATAACACGTAATATGCGAACATTTTCAAACATATTGTGATCTGGAAAAAAAATTGCAACTATAACACAAATGAAATTTTTGGACATACGAGGTCTATAAATTTAGTGTAATTAGTATAATTACAATTTCATATTGTCACCCTCAAAATGAATTTCCTCTGAAACCACACAGCGTTGGAGACGGTTCTACCACTCCTCATGGCAGTTGAATGTTTGCGCCTGTCCCACAATGAGTTCAATTGAGGTGATTTTTCAACTTTGGGAGAGAGAAAAAAGTCACAAGGACTCAAGCCAGGCGAATAAGGAGGCTGAGGAGCCACAGGAATGTTTTTACTGGCCAAAAGCTCGTTTATCGACATTGCTGTGTGACTAGGACCATTATCGTGATGCAATATGCAATATTTTCATCTGTTCTTGGAGATAATGGCCTTCCGCTGCATGGTTCATTTTCAATCGACTCTCTCCCTTTTCAACATGCCTTAAACCACCGAAAAACCTGGGCTCTTCACAAAACACTATCTCCTGCTTAGCAAAAGTTTCCGTTGCACTGTGCCCAAGAAATTGATGTCACTCATTCTTAGATCACAATAGAAATAACTGTTTCACAAAAAAAACTCTACGGATAGCCAAATGGCTGAAGCGAACTTGTACTGAAGGCAGATCACATGTTACCCTGTCTCCAGTGTTGCCAGATCGAACGCTACGTTGCCAGTCTCATCACTTAATTTCCAGACCTCGTATAATAAGAATCCATGAAAAGTTCTTAAAATGTGTAATCTGGAAGGAAATTCGTTCCTTGCATAGATTGGGTGCCTAGATTCTTACATTGATGTTTCAAATAAATATGCAGCTGACAGCAAATCAAGGAGTTTTTGACGTTTATGTTTGTCACACTATAGTCTGGTACGGAAACGGAAGAAAATAGTAAAACACATCGTACATTACTCATTAACGCCTCTCTTTGAATAAAGCGGAATCCGCGAGTATCGACTTTGGCGATACAAAGGCTCACCGCTCCACTCTCTTCCGTTTTGATACCCTAGTATATTTCTGCAGTTAGGCATATTTTCTGGCGGACTCCACAGCTTTATCGCCAGCGAGGAGACAGAAAACACAGACGAAGATGAAGCAGCTACAGCAGGCATGGAACTGACAGTTCTGGAAACGCAAATTCGTCCATTTGTTTTCTTCAATGGTCAGGGTGAACTGATGGGCCATGTTTGGTCCGGTACCGCTTCGGAAATGACACCAGCGTTTCAGGTTTGTTTTTATTATCCTCCTCTGTAATCCAGTCCTGAGAGAAGTTCCATTTTGGTACCAAAAACTCCCTTGAAGGTAGGACATTTCAAAATTACAACCAGGTACCAAAATGGAAGATATCGCGGCCTCTACTCCGCATCCTTGTTACGTAGCTAAAAAAGTGACATTATATCGATTTTTTTATGAAATTATGTAAGGGTTTTATGACACTATGTAGGTTTTCGTATAAACAGTCATCGTTGAACTAGCTGGGCACTTTATGCTCACTTGTGGTGGCCGCGAAATAAACTACCTAGTGCACAAGTTGACATTATACCGATTCTTTAACATTATATAGATTATTTGCTTAACAGCCCTGCTGATGTACTTCACGGTTATATTTTTGGTTCATTACTCCCTCTCTGGGCCGTATTCCTTAAAAAGTATGGCATAATAGTTACAAGTAAATTATACTAATATTGCTCCACGTAACCTTCAATCACGATATACTAGTACTACTCTATATTTTACAAGTTACAAGACCATATTCGCAAGTTGGACGTTTATGTTCCATAAAAATACTAGTGTAGTAGTTTCTTACAGGTAGTCCGATATGTGGACCAAACATTATTAGCCATATTTACTAGTACTTGTGCTTGTAATTTTCTGGTCTAGTATTTTTATGGAATATTGCCCTATGGGCACAGGGTGTGCCTAATTATTATTGGAACTTGGAAACTGTAACAGATATGAAGCCGCTTACATGGGGAAAAGTTGCGTATTTAGGTAGTCAACAAACTGCCGATTGCTTAGAAAGCCTCGAAAATCGAAGTACTTCCGGAAAGAGACGAAAAAAATCGAATTTTCCCAAAATCAGTTTTTTTATTATTTTCCCGACTTTATTTGAAGAGGGATTTCAAAATAAATTAACATTGCCGTTTCTCCTCTATAAGATGGCATAATTAGAATTTCAATATGACACTTCGTCTTTTGTACCTCTAGCGTCAACTTTATTTTTTTATTATAGACGCTATGTTGGATTTTTGCACAGATGAATAGAGTCTCCAATTCTGATTCCAAAAATGTAAATACGTCATATTGATATTGCTAAACCTTATCCATTAATACAGAAGTTCCTAAGTAGGCCTAAGTAGGCGTTGAAATGATAAGATCTCATTTGTTTCGTATACCAGACCAGACCTGAAAGATGGTAACAGAGTTTGGAAGACTGAAAAGAAGAGACATACATCAAGCAGTGAACAATGTACAGAGCAGAGTCAGGATTTGCCTACGAAATAACAGACAACAGTTTGAACATCTGCTATAATTTACCTCTGATTATTTATGAGTATTATTCTTATTACCATCAATGACATTTTAATTTTGTGTTTAGGTTTCACCATACTTTGTTATTCCCTAATAATTTTTATTCAACAAGAAATTCATGGCCAACAAATGTACAAAATTCGAATATACCTAACTGCTTAATTTTATTTATTTATTCTTTTTATTTATTTATTAAGCTTAACGGAAAAGAAACAGTCTATTTATTGCTCCTCTTCTAGACATTTCAAGTGCTCAATTGTTTATATTTATTTAAAATTGATTTTTTTTTCATGTTCGTTAGATATCATTTACAATTTGTTTGTGTTTGTAATGACTCCTATTTTATTGATTTATTTGTTTATTACTTATGATCTCAATTACTGTTTTAATTAACTACCTATTCTTTTTTGCATATCGCATGCGATATGCTTATGTATTGTATATGTAATGTTGACAAGTCTTATGTCATAGCTATTTATGACCAAAAGACAATAAAGACTATCTATCTATCTATCTATCTATCTATCTATCTATAGCGCCCAAAACAAAGTTGGTGATGGAGGACAAGAAACGAAACGTCATATTGAAATTCTAATTATACAATCGTAAAGAGGAGAAAATGTGGCACCGTTAATGTGTAATTTATTTTGAGATCCCACTACAAATAAAGTCAGGAAAAAATTAGAACGAATTTGAGAAAGTCGATTTTTTCGTCTCTCTCTTCGAAGCTTTCTAAAAGACATTGATTACCTAAATACGCAACTTTGCCACCATTTAAGCGACTTCGTGTCTTTTGCAGTTTCCGAGATCTCAATGGTGAAGGTCGAATTTAGTATTATACATGATGTCCATAGTTGTATTAACTGTGTGTTATCTCTGTGATGCATTGGTTATTCGTGATTTAACGAAATGCGAAATGCTATGGGCTAAGCTAATTTAGTTTTTTTACAGGTTTTACTAATGCTTCAAGATCATCTGGAGCATCTACGCTTGGGTTCTGGATTCATAGCCGAGCTGAACGTCAAAGGAGCTACTTCGTTCGACCTTTCTGGAAAAATAGAAATTTCGCTGTGGAATAGAAATGCTCAATCATTGGTGCAAAAATCGTAAGTATATACATTAGTCGACATTTTTTAGTTTAGCTATAACGTTTCATCACTGTATATGAAGAAAATTCTGATTATGGATTAAATATGACTGAATTTCGAAATCAGTTTATTTTCTTTTGGATATGATTTTTTTCTGTAAATTTGTCGCTAAGATATTCAATATATAATTGAAACTATTGATAATATACGCTGACACAAGTGACAAATTCTGTTCGCCCATTCACCATCACATGCAAAATGACAAATCGCACAATTCCCAAGTCTATCCATCATTCCAGGGCCGGAATAGCGACGACAGGATCGATATCTGTTGACAGCAAATTCGTCAAGTCCCAGGCAGAATTCTCCACTTCGATTGAGACCAAGTTGGATCTTCAGACTGACATTGATTTCTATTCGAACGTCCATCTTTGTATGAGACTGACTCAACCTGACGCCTTATTCAGGTAATTACGTCAATTCTAGGTGTTAATTAAGGCCCGTCATATTAGAATCGTCTTTAAAAATGTACGGTGACGAGAACCAACCAAGGGTATAACCGTCTATAACTTGAGAAGTAACGCTTGGAGGTCGATGAAATTTTTACACAATGTTACTACTGTGCCAGGGACGCAAAAGCTTGTTTTTTGATGTTTCAGATGATACCGACCATTTTCGGAAAAAGTTTGTAGGGTTTAAAAATGGGGGCTAGGAGAAGCAGTAGCAGCATATTTCAATTTTTTGATGTTGGTATAATTATACGCCTCCAACACCAGTAATTCGACGCACATAGTAGACATATTTCAGTCATCATACATGTCCTCGTGCATTTACCCTTAAGGCCGCAGGTCCCTTTTTTCCGCTTGTATTCAACTACCTGTTTGCAACAGTATTATAGGTCCTCTTCATCTGATTACCTCATGACGTGTATAGAGATATGACTAAAAACAACGCTTTAAATTTTGTTTTGTCATAAAATGCATGTTCTGTGTATTTTGTTGTGGTTTTTTCTTCTATCGTAACTTGTTAACAAATATTAGTACAGCTCTGCATTTGTATGTGAATATTCCACTTTTATGGATGAATGAAACAAGTGATTACTTTTAATCGTATCACTTTCTTTTCGTAAAATCTTTGCTCTTCTTGAAAACTCAACTTGCTGCGAGGCGAGGCTTAAAGAAAATCAAAGGTTTTTCCGAAAGGGAAAGTGATAAGAAAAAAGTAATCACTTGTTTCATTCTTCCATAAAAGAGGAATATTCACAGACAATTTCAGAGCAAAAAATGCATAATAAAATGCACAAAAAACGCATTAAAAAAATGTAAATATTGTTTTTTTCAGTCATCTCTATACACAACATGAAATTATTAGATGAAAAGGATTTAGAATACTGCTGCAGACATGTAGTTAAAAAAGAAATTTAAAAAACTAACGTGCCACCTTAAAGCTTCTATCTTCTACAGTTGGCTTCCGTACAACTGTGGTTCTGTGGCCTGTGATCAGTGTTGCCAGGTCAAAAAAATTAAATTCTAAAATCACCAGGAATTCTAAAAGTTATTTTTTTAAGCAGTATAACTAGTTGTAAACGAAAAAAAAAAATGAATTTGTAATGTTTGTATACAATTTAATAATTGAATCGCTCAGTGAAACGCAATTCACTATACATTTCCTGCTACTGTGGCGCAGGCAGTAAAATATTATCTTATTAGCACCTACCTTAGATACAATTTGAATACATTTTTCATGTTTTTGTACGATGTTGAACTATTAATTTCTAAGTATATTTTTTACCAAAACAAATTGCGTTTCATGATAATTACTAATCTAAAATAGAAAAAATAACTAAAGAGGCATAGGTAAATCTACCATTTTAATTCCTTACCTTTTATCTTGCAAATTTGATAATGCACAAATAAACTGCAACAGTTTAATAGGATTAAAAAATGATGAACACTAAACTGAATCCAAATTCAGGATGAGATGTAAATAATAACAGTTAGCCCGTGATCTCTTGGTAACAGGTGGGGACAACGCCTCTTATTGGTCAATTCGCCACTAAATTTCAAGCGGTCGCCTGGCGGAATAATGCGCGGGGCTGGGGCAGGGCAGGCAGAGTTGCACTCGGCCCACCGTCCGTCGCGTGTATCACAGCGTGCTCGTGTTTTCGTATTCACCTTGCTTGGTTGTTGCTGTTGTTGTTGTTAAGTGTATTTGAGTAATTTGTTAAGTTTCTGTTAAATACTGTCATCTTTGTTTTACAACACGTTGGTGGTAGTCCATCATTTGGAGGTAGCCCTGAATACGGCCCTGTACGCCGTCCTTGGTTTTGGCAATCACGCATCCATTCTATCTCGGGTGTAAATACACTAAATATATTTTCAAATGTATAAATTACAAAAAGCGCTGAACTGATCATAGATTACGAGGGATGTCTTTTAAGTTTTGCATATGGAAATAAAACAACACGTTAGGTAGTTTTAAATGACTTTATTGTTTTTCGAAGTATTCTCCACGAAGATTAATACACATCTGCATGCGCTCGAACCAATTTTCGAAGCACTTATTCCACTCGTTTGCTGGCAGATGCAAAACGGCATTTTTGAATGCGTCAACTGCTTCTCCTGGCTACTGGAACCTTTAACCACGCAGTCTGTTTTTAATTTTCGGGAAAGTAAATAAATCGTTAGGACTTAGATCGGGACTATATGGAGGATGGTCCAGTAATTCCACGTTTTCTTCCGGTAAATACTGCCTTGTTTTTTTCGCTGTGTGCGAGCTTGCATCGTCTTGGTGGAGGATGATTCTTCTTTCGGGGTTGATTTTTCGAAGCTCGGTGATGACTTTTGGCAAACAAATGGTGGTATACCAATCCACAGTAACAGTTCTTTGCTGATTAAGAGGAATTGTTGCAATATGACCCGCTTTTGACACAAATGTCGTGACCATATTTTTCGAAACACTTCGAGAACGGATGACTTTTCTTGGGTTTTCTTCATCTTGGAACACCCAAACAGCCAACTGTCGTTTATTTTCTGGTTCATAACAGTAAATCCACGATTCATCACCACTAACAATGCTGTACAAACTTTTTGAGTTTCCGGAATTGAATCGGTCAAGCGGCTTTTGACACCAATTAACCCTGGCTGCTTTCTGATCTTCAGTCAACAGGTGGAAACTAATTTTCTTACTCCTAATTCTTCATGTAAAATTTTTTGAATTAAGGTCTTTGAGATCTTCAAGGACGTCTCAATCTCGCGATATGTCACATGTCTATCGTCAATAATGAGTTTGCGCACAGCATCGACGTTTTCCTGGGTGACTGCCGTTTTTGGTGCACCCACCCTGGGATCAGCGCTAAGACTCACCTATCCACGTTTGAATTCTCCATACTAACGGGAAATTGCCGACTGATGTGGCGCTTCGTTGCCGAAAACAGACAGTAGCTCAGCAAGGCATTCTTGTTGCGATAATTGTCTCTGAAAGTTGTAATAAATTATGGCGCGAAAATATTCTCGGTTGACTTCCATTTTTCTAATGACTTGCTGACACTTAAAAATTCACTGTAGTGAGAACACTGCTGGTATTGTTGTGAAACTTTAAATTTAAGTTTACTAAAGAGTCAGTACTGACGTTCGATCAGCGCGGCCTACTATGTTTCTATATGCAAAACTTAAAAGAAATCCCCCGTATTATCAGATAATGGATGACGTGGTAACGACGAAACGACATGACGAAAACCAAAACAAAAACAAGCGAAATACGGTGGTGAATCTCATAGCAGCTTCGGTGCATCATCGGAAACATATCGCAGACCGTATTGATGACCAGACTAGATCGATACGTAACGATACAATACGCGAAGTCGTGAAACGCGGTACCAGTTCGGAAATTTAGTAATTCTTGGAGCTTTTGGTAGCCGAAAGATTGTTAAAAATCTTCAAAATTGGTGACATTCTAGAAATCACGAGAAATTGCCATTTTGCAAACATTTTTTCACCAATCGCCAGATTATTCATAAAATCACCAGATCTGGTCAAATTTCACCAGATCTGGTCAAATTTCACCAGACCTGGCAGCACTGCCTGGGCTTTATTCACTGTGCATGGTGAAGGCCAATATCGTCATTCACGCGGGATTAGTCATCGCAACGATCATGTGCGCCTGCAGTAATTTCTCTCATGGGGAGGTGGACGGCCATTTAATTCTTTGGTATACACGTTCGTTGTTAACTTTTTTCTCAGAAGCGCCGAATATACTCGTTTACGAATTGATGTCAGCGTTGCGTGAGAAGTACTGAGTCAAATTACTTGACGCAATTTTTTTACACAGGAAAGACATAGCACCAGCGACTGTGTCAGTCTTTTGAAACAGGTGAAGACAGCTTCATTTTTCTTTGTTACCTCTCGGGTACCATTGCAAAGCATCTCCTTAATATAGTTGTAGTCACTGTTATTGGCAGGTCAAAGAAAGACTACCAGCCCCTGTTACCCATTTCATGCGTCCTGGAGAGAGTAGCAGATGCGCTGTAGATTAAGATTCGCCCATGGCACGGAGACTCGATCTGTTTACTTATTTTATATGGCATTAATGACGTAACCGTCAAGAACGGTGACTACAACTATATACGTTTTCTGAAAACGGTTCCAAAATAGAGCTTACAGTTTTCATAATTTGATAAATTACATACACATGCTGCAGCAAGGCAGGTCCAATGTATCCACATCCGATCTCCGAGCATGTATAAAGGCTAACAGGCCGATAACACCATATTGAAATATCGGCAAAAATCCTGTATCGGCCGATCTCTAGTTGTAGGTGACCCTTGACCCAGACGCTGGTGAAGGCACTCATCAATATCAAAAACGGCCTTTTGGGTAAGGGTTTGTAAAAGTTAAAGGTTAATCTGGATATTTCTTGCAGGCATAACATATTCAAAGTAGAGAAGATACCAGGCAGTCAGCATAAACTGAGGATATCAAAGTATAAGAAGTACGCGGTACCAGGAACGACGTACTCTATTAACAAGAAAAACAACGAAATGTGTAGTGCAATTTTTAGCTGATAAGTTGAACCTAGAAGAGCTGTGTTCTCAAAGACTACTTGAAATGTGTGTGCTCAATAATACCTATAGATATAGACGAGTGATTGTGTATGTGTGGATTAGAATGTTTATTATTTTTACATATCAATATTAAATAGATGTTTTTTTTATTATGGAACATTGTTTCTTTTGGGCACTATTCGCGACCCTTGATACCAACTTTGAAATTAACAATGCTTGTGCTGCTGCTAAGCGAAAGCGATAAAGTGTCAGCGGTAGCGTTAGGTCGTCTGTAGCTTTTATCAGTGTTCTGATATATGATATCGAAACATCAAGCTCACCTGATTTGTGCTATTAGCCAATTTTTTAAACTACGAGGTCCGGAAATTAGGTAATGAGACTGGCAACGTAGCGTTAGATCTGACAACACTGGAGGCGCCGGGCTTGGGGAAAGACAGGGGAACATGTAATTCCTTTAGTACAAGTTTGAACTCGGTCGAGCCATTCGGTTGTCCGTAGCGATTCTGTTTTGAGAAACAGTTTTTTCTATTATGTTCTAAAAATGTGTCACAATTTCGAGCAACGGTGCGCTATCAGGTTTTGCTTCAGACTTAGGCACAGTGCAATGGAAACTCATGACAAATTTCAGCACGCCTACGGAGATAGTGCTTTGTGGAGAGCCCAGATTTTTCGGTGGTTTAAGGCATTTTCAGAAGAGAGATAGAGAGAGAGAAAACCGTTGCACATATCGTCAGAATCCGGGATCTTGAGCGTTCAGATCATCTGTTGAGAGTCAGAATGATCGGGAAAGAGTTAAATTTATGTCACACCACCGTTCATCAGATCAAGAATAACTGGGTGTCATGAAAATGCTCCTTGTCACACACCAATGTCAGTAAACGAGTTTTTGGCAAGTAAAAACATTCCTGTGATTCCTCAGCCTTATTATTCGTCTGACTTGCCCTGGTGACCTTTTCTCTTCCCGAAGTTGAAAAATCACCTAAGGGGGCATTTTGGGACAGTCGAAAACAATGAAACGGCTGTAACCGACCAACTGAAGACTGTTCCAGTATCGGAGTTCTAGCACTGCTCCGAGGAGTGTGGCTTCAGAAGGAAGTTATTGTGAGGGTGATAATTCAAAATTGTAATTATATTTGAATGAAATAATAATAAGACAGTTTTGTTACTTAATGTACAGACCTCGTACATCCTAGATACCAAGGTTTCGATGTTTTTTCTTCATATTCAAGCAATTTTCCACTAACAAGACCAGATTTTAACCTAACCTATTTGTACAACTTTCAATGTTGACAACTCGATACATGCGCGCGCATGCTCCATACTATGCGCTTTCCAAAGCAACTGAAACAGCGGTGTCGTCTTCCTTGAGGGTAGGAAATTTCGGATCAAAATTGATTATGTTCTGTCAACAACATGGCCCATCAAAGCCGGTGTCCCTCATGTTTCGGTTCTTGGACCAGTTCTTTATTCACTTTTTATTCATGACGTCCCTTGTTCCAGCAACTGTGAAATCTATCTCTATGCTGATGACACTGCCCTGGTAGCCCAGTCGTGTTCTGTCAATCTAGTTCACGACAGGCTGCAAAGTGCGGTGGAAAATTAATTAGTCGAAAACGCAGGCTATCTATTGTTCTAAAAAACGTAGCGGCGCCCCGTCTGAGGTTTCAGCGAATGGAGCTCGGGTACCATGGAAAGTTCTGCTAAGTATCTCGGAGTCACTCTTGACAAGGTAAAAGCACACTAAAGCTTAAAAACTAAATTCCAAATCTCGTTTCGGCAACTCTACCATATGCTATGTAGAACATCAAAATTAAGTTTGATCAACAAAGTTCGGCTATACAAGATGGTTATTAGACCAGAGGCATTTGCGTGGTCTGTAGTTTTTGCATAATAGAACCTTGCGTACAATCACTAACGCCGCATGGTATGTTTCCAATGATACCCTTCACAGAAACCTTGACATCCCTTACCTAAGGGACTACATCAAACAAACGTTATAGTCAAGAGGAATTACATAGCAAAACTTTGTTGCATAAGTCAGTAGGCTATACAGTCGAGTAAGTTCGCAAGCACACAAGGCCGCGGCTCGTACTGTTGACTAAATTAAATCGTGCGACTTTAGGTCCAACCAAAATTATAATTTTTCTTCAACAACCAATTCCAAAATTAATTTTCGGATCGATTTAAAAATGCCAAATACTAGTTAGCTTCTTTGCTCTCCCTCTTCCCTCCCCCTCTTTCTTCTCCCCTTCTTCCTCCTCGACTTTGTTTGGTATCTGGGCAACCAGACCTGGCAGACCTACAGGCTTACAAGACTTTTACCACGAGCTGTGACAGACAATGATGAATAGAGAGAGCGGTGTCGTCTAACGCCTGAAATGTCAAAATATGGACAGCCGCTCATTGCGCTTTCTTGATGATAGACGCAAGCAATTCAAGCTTCGGAAGAAGGTCATAGTATCCCAACTAGCAAAGTAGTGGTATAAGTTTTTGGTAAAAGAACCGTTCAGCTATAAAAGTTCTCTATTGTTGTTGCCTGAACACCAAAATGCTGGCTTAATGTCGTGTGGAATGGAAATTTGCTTTCTGCAACATATCTGCTCTAAAATGAGGTGTTAAAAATATTCTTGTAGCATAGTTATACAACACCTTATAGGGCAAATTTTTAACTGTTGCATAAACGTTTATACAACTATTTTATACGGCATATTTGCAAGTTAGCCAAAATGGTTGTGTTGTGGCATCCATGGTAACGTTTATGAAACAAACCCGAGCCTTGTTGTTTTGCTGTGCAATTTACTACCTTAGCCAACAAATTGCTCCCAACGGAAGCACTTATACAACTGTTGTTTAGTAACTGTTAAAGGCTGTACGTATGCTTAATATGTTGGTAAACAACGTCACCATAACCTAACTTTCTGCTGTGATATTTTTGTTAAAATGCCATAACCAATGTTTTAAGACAAACAACGCATGCATATTGGTTCAAAAGGTTTTATCAAGTGTTCAAACAGAAGATATAGATCTGGTACAAATTGTGGGTAAATCATTCGACTCTGTCGGTCTTTCTTTTCAGACATCTGTCAAATTGTTGTATAACACCTGCAGGCAACACCAAAATATTCTAATAACATAAAGACAACATAGACGATGCCATGATTGTACACAGCCACCCGCCATATTGGGCGAACATTTATTCCTCTATTTAATATTAAATAATTATGTTTCAGTTCGAAATTACAGATACAAAGTGATAAACATTAGTGTAATTGTGTCTAAATATAGGATTTGTGGAAGATTTAACGCAGATAAGTTAAGTTTTCCATCATAAAAATCTATATCATTGTCAAAATATGAATCAAATACGAAGCCCGTAGAAATTGGTAACTAATTTGCACGATAATCACAATAAAATTTGCTGCGCAAGTAATTCAATAGCCCTATATCAAAGTGTAGAAGTTTATC